CTTCCGTAGACAATCAGGACCTAGCATCATTTGTCTGACGGCAGATTGTGGTTTGTTTGGTTATTTTCAGTCAAATGAGATCAGACTTCACCTGCACAGAGGGGAGATTAGACACATTTTGAGTGTTTAATTCTTAGTAAATAGTACCTGAATGTGTTTTTAAACTTCTTATAAGCTTATTTAGTCATGAATTTTATTGTTAAATAGAAATACATAAGATTTGAAACTGAATTTTGGGAGCTTTGAGTTCAAATTTGACTCAATATGAACTGTATGAACTCTGTTTTCAGTTTAATTATACTGCATCTAATATTTATGTCAGCAAATGCCTGCTTTCTGCTAATGCAATTACTGACATTGACTCCTCACATTTGCACAGTGGAACCACAGCATTTTACTGTTAATGCACCCGAACATTCAGTGCCTATTCAAAGTCACGCTACAGTGTATGCTGAACAGAGGAAGATTAGTTCTTCTCTATTTTCTCTGTACATAGTACACAATAGTCACATGACTTCTCTAAACCTGCACCACATACCAGCATGTATTCGAAACAGGACAAATACTTCTAAAATGTTGCTAAATTCAGCCTGGAAATGTTCTTCATGGCTGTTTGAGGATGTCAATCCCGTGCTGACACACACACACACACACACACACACACATACACACACACACACACACACACATGCACACACAGAGTAACACCATATGTTTAAATCTCTATAGTATGTCCAGACTTGTCTTGACAAACACAATCAGCAGAAAATCTCTCATTCTGTCACTCACCGTCTCCATTTCACATCTCTCTTTCTTTGTTCCTGGCAAAGCAGGTTCAGCATCCACACCCACAGACACTTGAATAGAGGGCGAGCCTATGTGGCTTTGACACATTGACTTTACTGAACATCTCATTTAGGTAATACATTATCAAAACAAAAGACAGGCGTGATTATTCAAGTGTGAACTTCATCATAATCATCAAGCAGAGCCCTGGCTTTAACATGCATGTTTGCCTCAGTGTTGAAAAAACTGTGCAGCTTTGTCTGTATCAACATTAACATATGATGCATAAAACAAACATGTGCCATGTAAGGAGGTGGTAAGAGTAACAGGAGGTTGCCACGGAAACTGGGCTGTGTTTATCTCCAATGTCAATCTATGGGCTTTGCCATGTGAACCTGACCCAGTTCCACCCAAGTGAGTGTGACTGCACACACACACGGATACACACATGTACATGCGATCACACACGGACACCGACAACGTATTGATGTTTCTATCGGCAGTGAATAAGGCCAGCGAGCACAGCGAGGTGGAAAAAGTTATTCCAGTATCCTGCACATTTTCCTCTACAGTGGCTATTCTCGCTTTCGCCTCGCATCAATTTGCTTCCTCCATCTTCGTCTTGATGGTCTATATCTGCTATTCCCTTAGATCCTCTATTCCCTTTCATTTTTCATGCGAGACCAGAGCTCATTTTTATGTGTAATCCTCTAACTGCCTCAAATTATCTAACCAAGGAAGAATGGAACAATTGAAGAGAATCAGCTAAAATCACTTGTCTTCCCCTGTACATCTGTGTTTTACTGTGCAGCTTTTGTTTGGTTTCTGAACAGGTTTATCACATTCACCACCTAGATTTTTCGCCTCAGACCATCTGTTCAACACATTCAATTCACAGTGCATCCACCTATGTCACCTCAGATCGTTGTTTACCGGGATAAACGCTCTGCATTTGGAAATCATGCATGAGGTGAGGTGAGACTTGGTAATTCATTTCATATATAACCGCCCAGATGACTCATCGCAACACAGCCAGCAGAAACAGAGACATCTAGTGTTGGGATTGTAGTGTAACATGCTGGGCTTATGTAATACTTTGAGTTTGCTCTTTAGCATGCACATTTCATGGTTTTCATTCATATTGTCAACAGACTGCACAGATGCACGATGCCACAGGTTGAGTTCATTTTATAGGGTTAAAAAACAACACACGATCAGCACACTGTAAGAGTTTGTTCCCAAAGCAAATGCAATGACACATTATCTGATGGCGGCACTTGACTGCCCCTCCATGTGTCACAAGCACCCGATCACAGATCGACAACCTCCACAAACATTATGCAATCAGAGAACATTATGTAATCCGTCATCACAACAAAAAGTTGGACCAGATCACAGAAACTCTGGCTGATGAGCAGATCCCTATGGTGCAGCTGATTCATCTAACTTGACTGGCATCTATGAAAGTGCAAGCTGTCTTTGTTCAGCTGATATGTGTTGTGCCGGATGTTGGATTTGATGGGTGCATCATTGTCAGCAGTGGAGTGGAAGACAGTGCTGTTGGGTGTTTTTCAGATTCTGGAGGTAACAAGAAAGAAACAGGACTGTGCAAAAAGTCTGCATTGCGTCACAGCAGGGAGCAGAGAAAAAGGGAGAGAAAGGAGACAGGAGGGGGAGAGCAGGGGCACAGCGAGGAGAGAGAGGGGTGTGTCTTCACTGACCTAGTTAGAGCGATGGAAACCCCCCCACCCCACCCACAACCCCACTTCACTACTGACGTGTAAAGGGCACTTTCAAACAGTACCAGACAGACAGGAATGAATGCAGGGAGGCAGGAAAGAGAGATAGCCAAGCAGTGAGAGGGGAAACAGGCAGGGGGGCAGACGAGAGTCAAGAAAAATGAGATCGACTGAGACAGGCAGACAAATGTATCCACAATGATATACCAGATCGGGGTAGATCTGGGAAATATCTCTGTGAAAACAGGATAAGCCTAAAGGGATTTAAAACAAATTAATGATAACAACAGAACGCATCTGAAATATGAAACCCCTTCATATCCTGTGCAATATTAGATTTCAGCCTTTATTTTCAGAGAATAACATCTTTGTAGCACAAAGCAGCTTTTAATAAAATCAAAGCACCGCTAAGAAATGAAATAACTGAAAAAATACAAGCTGTAATTCCTAATAAACAGGATGTAATCTAACATTTCCTGTTCTTTTCAGGGTTCTTGTTGTAGAAATATGAATTTTCAAGGCCATTGCGATGTAAGATGTGTTACTAGCATTAACATACTGCATTAATTACAGGGATTTCACTTCATTAAGCCACTGCCTCTGCAGGTCACATTCACACTAATGGCTCATTTACACATGCAGTTAGACCTAACCTTCAGTCTTTTCTCTAATAGGATGATTGTTTCCCCTTCTGGCTTCAAATAGTCCACATTTCAGTTTGGAGGCCGCCGTTTAATGGAGCAAGCTGACTCTTTCGGCTTAAAGGGCATGCAAAGCTTTCCTGAAACCAAACTGTATGAACTAAAAATAGATTTAAATACATAAAACAACAAGTGAAAGGGCAATTTCATACTCCAAAACTTTCTGCTCTGTCATCTGTTTTTGTGTCATGTATTCTCAACTGTTCCGTTTAGTCTGTCCAAACCTTTTTCCAGATCACATTTTCAGATTTCCATTCCTCCCCCTCCTCTTTTTTAATAGGCCCTCAGTCATTCACTGAGTTTGTTTCTTTCCGTCAATCTTTTCTTTCTTTTTGTTCAGCCCTGCATGTTGTTGCTGAAGTCCTCGTCTTCAGTGACAAACTGAAGCCTGAGGCTGGTGTTCTTGTTATCTCTGCACTTTGCTCACCTGGGTAACCTCTTGAGTAGCTTATTTGGACAGCACTGGACTGTTGTAGTTGTAACAGTTGACAAAACCCAGAGTTGGTTTTGGGCCATCCAAACCACTTGTGTTCCAGTTTTAATCTCTATTACTACTATACAAAGAAACTCTAAACCTCTAATATAAATCAGTGTCCTCCCTCACCAAAACAGCCCCCTTTTACTCTCTTTAAAGTTGTGTATTCCTTTAAAACAAAGTTGTCCTTATGTCCTTAACATTTAAGGCCATCATACAGAAACAACCATTGTATGCAATGTTGCCTGGAGCCAGAATGAGTAATGATTTTTAAATGTTCTTTGCATTTTCTCAACAACTCATCTTGTTTTTTCTTTTTTGTTGCAACAATGGCCTCATCTAAGGCCTGTGTCCTTCAAACTAGCACTCCTTTGCCCATCATTATCTGTCCTTGAGTACTCGAATATGTGTTGAACAGAGCCATTATGTATGAAAGGTTATGATGCAGATGATGACTCATCTGTGTGATCTTACGCAAATCTGAATGATGTTCATGGTTATTGAGGAAAAGCAATTTCAGTGAATGTTGCATCATCCAGTCTCAGCAGCTTTTGTCTTGATTCATTCAGATGGTTTCGATCACAGAAACCGTATATGATAAGCGCTGAACATTACAAGGGACTACTTTTGAAACTGTATTCAATCAGTGTCCAGCATTTATGCCACCAGACACTCAGCAGCTTAGTCACTCTGGCGAATACACACCCTCTGCCACAAACAAGTGAATCAGACCCCAGAAGACAAACAAGCACATAGAGACATAGTTACTGTAAGGAAAAACAAAGCATACCATAACAACTAGAGCAATGCACACAGACACACAAACACACACTGGGATTCTGTGAAGCTCAGTGTGGCTCCATTTCTAATTAAATGCCCATTAAGCAGGCCATCATTGTGCCACGTCTGGCTTGTGTGTGCGGCAGCCAGACCGGCCTGTGTCCAAGCCTCAACACCCGCGCCCCCCGTCTGTCCAATTGGATAGAAACACTTTGACAAAGACGTGTTGACAAAATAACAAAATAACAGGTTGCTGAGAGCTTCATGAAGGTACAAAAAGGCCTGCAGATGTCTTGATGATTTCTCTGTCTGTTTCAATTATCTGCGTCTTATTGAATCCAGAAACTTATTTACAAAGGATCTTTCTTAAACACAGGTTTAAGCCAGAGGCCTGAGGCTGTTTTATTGTGACTGTCAGTTGTTGACGAGCTTAGGAGAAATTGCGGGCTATTTTTTGCTCAATTGCTGTATGACAATGGAAAATAATGTGTGAGAAAAATTGTTTTCTAGATCAGGGCTGATACTGACACACAGCAAAGCATTGACCCATTTCTCCTTACAAAGCTGTTGAAGAGCGGAGAGGTTGTACTCGAGATCAGACCTATTGCACAAGGACAAGATTTATTATAATATATTCTCCCTTTCCAGTCTGGCTTTGTCAGTGCTGCTCTCAACCAACCTCTTCAACACTGAAATTATCACTTGGTAGGCGGATTTTTTTTGTGTTAAAAAATGTGAATACAACTGCCCCAACTAAAAATGACAAACTAATAAGGCCTGAGGAGGTAAGTGTACAAACATTTCTTCAAACATTAACTTTAACCACAGTACAGAATATATATAGACTACTAAAAAAAAAAATGTGCACATTTCCAACCACAAACATCTATATACATTTCCAGCACATAAGCGTGAGACATGTCAGCGTTAAACGTGCAAACAACTGTGGTTACATTTTGCTACTCTTCTAGCTGGAGCGGTAAAGTATTCGGCCTTGTCTCACAGAAGAGGAAATAATACCACCATAGCAGACATTCACACGATACTCTGTTTCTATAAGACATACTGGTGTAGCTGCCTGTAAAATAAGTTCAGTAAAAGTTCAAAGACCATGAGGTAAGCTTTGTTTTAATTTGTGTATGCTATACAAATAAGACTTGTTGCATTGTTACAGTTTCTGTTTTTTTTTTTACTTTTATGTTTGGAATGATGAGTTCTAACGTTCTTAAGAAAAAACATTTTAAATCAAATTATGAGACAGAGTAGGATGAGTAAACACTACAGTAAGTACTGCTATGATAACATAATACAGTGTTGCATTTAGAAATAAAATTATAGAACTACAGTGAACTGAAGTGAAGTGTCATATCGGCTCTTTTTTTTCAAATCTTGTTTTAAAACAATACTCACCTTTCATATGTACACTGAACCAGTTTTTGTTTGCTGTAATCATTCATCTTGTCCATACTGGCCATGAAGAGATCCTTTTCTGACAGTCCACGGTCCACGGACTTCCTTTTGTTACGAAAATGTATTCTCAAGTCAAAACTAATAGCTGAGCTTCATCCTATGCCTGCTTTATTTTAAAAGGGGATTTTGTACGTACAAACTGCAACTTTGTAAGATACTCTATAGACTTCTGTAGCTTGCTTCTTATCTCTGCTTAAGACTAAATTAACTGCTACGAGCATAACACACCGAAAGCTCTGATGGTGGTTCAAGTTGCATTGTGGTTAATGCAGGGGCTAGGATTTGAAATTAAGAACAATGTGTGTAATTAAAAAAGATACATTTTGTTCATTGTGAAACCAACAATGTTATAGGAGCGTGATGTTAAATCGGTGAAGTACTCTTTTAACAGGAGGAACGTTAAATGTGGGTATTGATTTAAGGCATTGTTTTATTGTTTTATGCTCAGCTGTTTGGAGTTGCATCCCAGTTTTAACTCTTTTGTCTAAACTAACACACTAATATTTTTCACTCTGACACATGGCCACTTATTACAGAAGCATGTGCAACAACACCACCAACACCACCAACATCACTTGCAGCGTGGACACCTCACAGGGTTTGGCTTACTGTCCTTTGTTTCTCCTGGGTTTCCTTGTCAATGGTGCTGCTCTGCGGGCCTTCATTGCCAAACGGGACTCCTGGACAGACACCCATGTCTACATTATTAACCTGGTAATAGCTGATTCTACCCTAATCCTCTTCCTTCCCTTTCGGATCTTTGATGCCTTCTTCTGCCTGCCCAAGACTTACTTGTGTAGTTTCCTATTGTCCATACATTACATCAATATGTATGCCAGCATCCTGACAACGGCGGCCATCAGTGTCCACCGCTACCTGGCTATAAGGTTCCCACTGCAGGCCAGATCATGGAGGAAGAAGAAAGAGACAGCTTTTGCTGTGTGTTTGCTCATTTGGAGCTTTCTGGTGATAATATGTACTATATACAGAGAGGAGAACAATCCCAAAAACCTCTGGACCTGTTATGAAAGATGTAAAAATTCCCCACTTGATGCAAAATTAATTTCAATTATGGTGTCTCTAGGCTTCCTCTCTCCACTGCTTATCATTGTGTTCTGTTCAAGTCAGATCATAGCTATTCTGTTAAAGGTGGATGACAGGTCAGGGGAAAAGAAAAGCACCATTGGCATAGTAACAGCAAACATGGTTGTGTTCTTCATCTGCTACACACCGATCCATGTTGGCTTTCTTGTCAACTACTTTGCCCCTCTACCTGAAAACTGGCATGTTGTACACACACGTGCACATCTATATTTACTTGTGTCTGAATGGATTGCTTCCACAAACTGTTGTTTTGATTCCATCAGCTACTATTTTTTATTGATGAAGTTTTATTCAAAGGCAGTGGGAGCACAATGAATTACTCTGTCTTTAAAAACAGCATTTTTGTGTCATGTTTTTTTAGACTGTAAAATAAAGGATATTGTTAAAGGGGCACTCCACTGATTTTAAACAATAAAGTTCTGAGAAGTGTGTTACATCAGCTGTGGCTCTGCAGGGGGTTTAAAAAAATAACCCAATAATGTCATCAGCATAATCTTAGTTTGGGGCTCAGACACACCATCTCAAATATAAACCTACATCACAAACTGAAGGTGTAGCATTTGAAAGAAATGTGAAAAAGGAAGCAATGAAGGTCAAATAAAAGATGCATTATGGGAACTGTAGGATGGAGCTTGATACATTTTAGGGATTCAAAATCAGGATATCTTGACCTTTCCGGCTTCATTTTTCACCATTTTTAAATATCATTCTGTCTCTTAAGTTCCTGAAATTTGTGGAAGTACAACACAAAAACACTGGAGTGCCCCTTTATATTTCCAACACAATAGCTGGCTGGCATTTTTTTTTTACTTTTGTGATTTATTCGTATATAATGTTAGCTATTATAATGTTTTCAGCCTTATTTCCCAGTTGGCTAACTGCATAGTTGATTTGTTAATGTAGGTATTTGTCTTTTCAGTATTGTTAATTATGTCAGCATCTGTTACCTCTGGCTTGGTGTAAAGTTTCTGTACAAACTTTTCAGCTGCTTTATAGATGTTTGTGGGTTATTGTCTGTGTATGTTTTGGGATATAAATAACTGTGATGCAACTCAACCTTTTGTTGACCTTATTGCTCTCTGTGTGATGTTCAAAGCAGTACATAAAAGCAGAAGAACAAGGGATATTCTCACCTCTGCATCAGACCTCTCAACAAAACCACAGTCTATATCGAACTGGGCAACACAGACGGTATCAAGTCAATGCACAGTAGGGGAGATGAAGCCTTTCACTCCCTCACAAAGGCTTATGAATGAAGGTCAGTGTCCAGCTCCCTCTTGTGGTGAGAAAAGTAAATGCTTAAAGGATTTTCCACTGCCTGTCTGCTCTGTAGCTGCCTGTTGTGAAGTTTCAAACTGCCAATCTGATGACAAATGTGTCTAATTTACAGAAAACAAACTGCAGTAATGATAAACACATTACACAGATTGCCGTGAAACAATAGAGTTGCATTCGTAAATGTGTGTATATGCGTGGGCACGTGTATAATGATATGCATTTATTTCAATGAGTGCATTCAGAACCACACACGACAACATTAGCAGTCAATTATATAATGCCATTTAATAGCAGTACTCCAAAGATTGATGGATATTATAACAGCAGTATCTTAGCAACTGCAAAAACTCAGCAGGCATCAGTCAAATGAGAAGGCTCAGTTCTGGCTGAGATCAGGCCTGCAACTCTACTCTAATAACAGGAGACAGCTGAACTCAGCAGTCATCCAAAGTCACGTAAATACTGTACATACATCTTATTCACAGCATTGTCACCGAGAAAAAGAAAAAGAATATAAAAAAAAACCTCACACTTCAAACACAGTCCTGTCTCAGAAGAGCATGAATGATCCCCCCCAAAACCAAACTGATACACTATACCTTCGGGATGATTATTTACACTATTCACAAATGATACAGAACAGCTCCTTTTGAAAATGCAAAAAAAAAAAAAAAAAAGTTTTTGTGCTTTTCTTTATTACTGCACAGTATAATGACTATAAACAACAAAACAAAGAATGAGTACATTCATTCACTCAGGATGCTGACAAGTATTTTCAAGATCCTCCAGTATGGCAGTTGGTTGGCAATGAGAGACAGACGATCACAAGACTGCAGAACGAGACAAAAAGAGTCCAGAATCAGGACAGATGTTACACAAAATGAGATACACAGTGTCCCCTCACAGCATTTCAGTCCATTTGAAGGTTTGCTTATGAACTACTTATAAATCATTATTATTACATATCGGCTATCCTGGAATAAACACAGTTCATGTCATGGTATCAGTAACTACATTACAGTATAATCATAAAGGGCATGACAAAGTGTCTGTATTCATTCTTACATATTTACAGTATATAAGTATGGCATGTTGTGTCAAAGTAGTTTATAAACAGACCCTCAAACACTGCTAGGAGCTGAAAAAAAATTATTTCAACAGTACAAGCCGCCATCTAAATAAAAAAATAAAACATTCAGCATGTAAGGTCAAAGGCATACATATCACAAGTATACTGCAATAAGGGAATTCTCCAACACCTCAGTACACGAGGTGCACTGGAGACTGAAATGGTCTTCATGGCACTTAAAAACAAGTTTTCTCTCAATTTCTTTTTGCTTCGGTAATCAGGCATCAGTAAATCATTCATAACTTGGTTTTGGCACACAGATGTAAAAAAAAAAGAGACACTGGTAATATTTAGTGTCTTGGTGATTTTAATCTTGGAGCAGGTTGATAAGAAACTTATATGAAAACAGATTTTCATACATTAATAGTTATAATGACGTGATAAATGTTTATTTTTGTTTGCAAGCTAGTGCCTGATATCATTTTTTTGGAGTTACTGTTTGTCTTACATTATCATTTTTATCTAAATTAAGTTTACTATGTACAGATAAACCATATATTGCTGCTCACTGCGAGGTCAGCACAAGCCAGCATTCATGTGTCACCAACTGACTGTGACTGAGAGTGAAAATCAAGTCATCTGGTCAGTTATAGCAAACTCTCACTGGTTTCCACAGTTGTTGTTGTTGTTGGTGCACCTCATTTCATCAAGTCCTACTTGCTTTTTGCTTCTGTCTTCTTTATCTTGTCTCTGTTTTTATGACTTCCTCACTAACACACTCAAACCATGTTGTGTTGATATAAACGTCGACCATTTTGTGGCACTGGACACTTTCGTGGGCTGAATATATAGTCCCATTTGCCTGCTGGAAACATTTCCATTAGCCCTATTGGCTCTGAGTTAAGCCAGGGGTTTCAATCATCACCACTGTAACTGTCACTTTGTTCTGTATCACATCTGTGGGACCTTGACCCACTGTGGGCTTAAGGGGAAATTTTGCCCAATAAAACCAGACTGTGTTCTATAATGCAGCATTAATGAATGTGTGTGTGTGTAAAAACCCCTAAGGTGACAGTGAAGGACAAGGTGTTCATATATTGCAGTGCATTTACTTTGAATTATCTAAAACACCTCTCTTTCTTCCTTCCTTTCTTTCTGTCCCGCAGTGTCAGTCCAGTGCTCTGGTGCAATCTCCCCAGACGTCCACATGAAATTATTGGTCATTAAAGAGTACATGGAGTGTAAGGAGGCAAACGAATAGAGCGATGGACGGCTGGAATACCGTCATTACACAGAGCATGCGGTTGGCAGAAATAGTGCTGACATTTCAGTCCTGCACTCTGCTCTCCAAAGATGTGAGTTATGGTCCCATATCCCTATGAGACAGGTTAGAGGCATTTGGCACACACATCGTGCTTCTCGTACACCTAGAATACTAAATACCCTCCGTCACCTGTACAAAAACATGTATGCATCTACTGTATGTGTGCAGCAAAGAGGAAGAGAGAGAAAGAAAAGAAGGATTTTGTGTTTCCTCGTCATCCATTAGATTTGTGTTTACAGTCCGAATGACTTGTCTGATGAGTCACTTCCAGCTTCAGATACTTTTACGATGTTCAGAATTTGCAATTTCACTTCAAGTGCCTAGTTGGCAATCAGACCAACAGGTAATATAGTGGAGAACAGATGGGTGGCAGTCTTGTTAATGTTATCCAAGAGGGAAAAGGCACCCCACTCCTGCAGCAGTATTTGACTGGCACTGCAGCCTCAGTTAATCTGCACAGAGAAGGCATCCTCTAAGTGCCATGTCCATCTTTGTCTCTGTCCATAACTTCGCAGCCCCCCATTCTCCTTTCTTTCTTTCTCTTCTTTCTGTCTTTCCCCTCCATCCTCTCTCCTCCCTCTTCCTGCTGCTGCTGAGTAGCAGGAGAGATAGGCAACTCTGCAATGCAGACACAGCAACAACCTCAGTCCATCTGACCAATTAGTGTGGGCCAGGATATGAGTGGCAGACCCAGCAGCCAGTCATAATGAGAGACTCATCATGGGGGTGAAAGTGGGGGTTGCCTGAGAGACTGACAGAAGAGATCAGAGGGGCTGAATGACAAATAAAGATGTAGGGAAAAAGAGAGGGGAAGGGAGAAAGGGGGATGGATAGAATGAGGGGGGAAAGAGAAAAGAGAGATCTTTATGTAAACAAAACAGAGAGCTCAGGACATGGAAAAGCTCCCGTCATCTTCATTTCCTCAAGAGTCACTGGCCAGCCTGAGTCCTGTCACTGCAGTTCTTCTTACTCATCAGCTGGCTGAGATCCACCAGCTCGCCCAGCTCTCCTCGCTCCAGGGCCCCTCTCAGCAGAGCCCTGGTCAGCCCGGGTGTGTGTTGCTGGGACACGTAAGCCTGGCCACTGGGAGCAGGCATGGAGGGTGGAGGCAGAGGGACGGGGACCATGCCGTGACTGCTGAGGATGTATCCTTCCGGGGCTGGCCAGCGCAAAGGCAGCGGCTCCCCATACTCCATGGGGGCGCTGGGTGCTGAGACCACCCTCCGGCGCTCAGGCGAGTCCTGGGGTGTCATGGGGTATACATATTCTCCTGCAGACTTCCTGAGAGGGGCTTTGGGCGTCCCCTTTATTCCTTTTTCTTGCTTGCTCAGGCAGACATAGTGCTGGCGTAGTGTGTCATTCCCCCGGCCCTCACCATTGTGTCTCCCGCCTCCCCCCTGCTGGAAGAGTCTGGTGGTCAGGTAGACGGAGGGGGGCATGCGGCAGGGCGAACCCAGACCCACAGAGCCACCCCCGAGGTACGTCTGGCTGGTGTCCCACCCTCCAGAGTTGGAGTCAGACAGTCGTAGACCTCTGCGTTTCTGCTGGGGTGTGTGCTCGGGCGTTGGCAGGAAACCGGGGTCGAGCTCTCCGGACTTCACCCAGCCGTTGGGCATGACAAACAGGGTTTCCCCACCCTGAGAGCAGGGGCGCTCGCCACCTCCCTGCCGCGTCACGCTGAGCACGGAGCCTCCCATTCCGCCGCCATTACTCAGCAGGCCTCTTTCGCGCCGCTGGATGGAGGATTGGGAGGTGTTGCCGTGACGACGGTTGGCAGGCTTGTGGGCCATGATCCAGCAGACGGCAAGGCCGGAGAGCGCCGCCCCGATGGTGAAGGCGGAAACCGCAGACGCCACGAGCAGGTTGAGGGAGACCAAGCTCTCCGGTTCAATCAGCAAACTCTGCTGCAGAATTCCTGAAGATTAAGAGACACAATTATAAAGATGACATTTAGTGGAACAGTACAATGGACATCCTCTCTCAACGTCTGTCCACAGGGTGCAGTTTAAAATTATGATTATTATTACATATAGTGCTATTCTGCTACTGCTACTTAGCGCTTTCCCCCTTACAAGACATAATGTATCATAATAAATCAATAACTACAATAACACTCATAAGTGGTGATTGTCGTGTTGAGCATTATACGATTATTTTCTGCGATGATTATCTTTAAAAAGAGCTCCTCTCCAGTCTGGCCTTGAGGCTCCACAGGCTCTGGGTTTAGAGAGGCCTGCACTTGTCATCAGCACAGCTCAGACCACAGCAGCTGACTCTCCTTTTCTCCTCTCCTCACACTTTCCATCCTGCAGCCTGGTAAGAGAGTCTCTCCTCGCAGCATACCATTACCTCAGTGTTTCCACCCAGCTCTAATCACTCCCATCTGCAGACACAGCAGCACATGCCTGTCTCTGGCTCGGGCCTCTGCTGCGCTTTCACGGCTTGGAGTCTGTCAGGGTCTGTAGCCTGGCATCACTGACTTCTACTGCTATCGGTTTCAGAGAGCAGGATAAAAACTAGAAGCCTATATATCAGTTTAAAACATTTTAGTGCGATGAGGGCTTGGAATGTGTCTTTTTCTGTCATCTTTTGGGAATTCAGATCTAGCCAAATGGATTTTATGACTTTGAAACTGGCCTAAAACAGGAGGAACAGTTCAGAAAGAATCTGCTGGAAAGGAAATTACTTTTTTTCAGGGTTTCCATTGACTTTGTGAATTTCAGAGCAAGGTTCAAAGAGGTCCTCTCTGGCTGCAGTGCTGCAGTGACATCTGAGCCTCTCAACAGAAGTGACATCAGTATTTTATGCTAAGCTATTTCTAGATTGCTCACTGGCTACACTCGGTCATTCCTCTCTCAGATGTTCAGCTTTGAGAGAACAAAGCCTCGTAAGCAGGAGGATGTTACACTTCCTATCGTGCAGTCTTGTGGTATTGTCTATGTCTCACATCCTCCCTAATTAAACTGTCTCACACTGGGAGCGTTTTGACCTGTAGGAAGTGAGGCTGAAACCAAAATCCCAGTTCCACTCCCACCTGATTCAGCTCTGACAAAGAACACCAAAACATTCAGTTGCTAATATCAAGGTTGAATTGATCTTGCTGAGCTGGGGAGGAAATCACATTACACCCCGGATAATTAAAATGTGCTTAATTACAGAAATTGTTGCAAATATTCCCTCACTTGGTGGTATCAGAGGGTTTTATTTTTTCAGAACAAAATGTTCGATGACAAGTAGACAGGTGTAATGAGGGAATGAGCCACTAGGCGGAGCCTACCCTCAGTCCACCATACACAGCCACAAGCGTCCATGTCATAGTGCTGCAACCTACCATCACAGTCTCCTAGATGGGAGGTGGTGTTTCCATATTCCACATCTTGTTGAAAAGGTAGCCTGCAGTCACACAGAGATCAGAGGCTTCAGTATTTATCTTCATATACAAACAGCACACACCAGGAAGTATGTTATTGTGTCCCTAACTCATTTTTACCGGTATACAGTTACATGATCTCTCATAGTAATATGTAATGAATGTCTAACAGAACAAAATATACCTGGTTGAAAATAACTAATAAATTATTGATTTTTATATGAACATGCTCACATTTGAACAGAATATTTGACATGAACGAGGGAATTTGTTCATAATAATCAATTAAATGGATATAGCATGCACTGACGTGTCATCCAGTGTAATGGGATACACTATTGATCTCATTATTGATTTTCTCTTTTTGCTTGCCACCCATCAGGGAGGTCAGAGGTCAGGGTCAGCCATACAGGTGGTGATGGAGCTGGAAGTAGGGATTGTGATACTATGTACAATGTCTGACTTTAATACAGTATAACAGTAATTGCTGATATTAATACTTAATATTGTTTATGGGAATGTGAAATTATAAAGGATGATAATAGTAATAATAATAGTTATTCTTTTGAAAATATTATTATCAGTTGATCTGTATTTAATACTGGAAATTAAGATACATTAAATACACCCACCTAACTTTACTGGCTTAATTAGCTTACAAAATGTAATACATGTAATACACAAAATCAATACACAAACAAAAAATAATATGAACTTTTATGTATTCATAACGATTTAATCTACTATATTTAAAAGAGCCCTTCATTTACCAGCTTTAATTAACTCATTTATATATTTACAGACACCAGTAGTAGTGGATTCACATTCACAGTACAACCACAGTCACTGAGCAGCTCCACCAGAGTGGTTGGGGTTAATGGCCTTACTCAAGAGAGGGGCAAGTGCTGTTTTCCACTTTCCCCACACAGATTTATCCTGACGGTCCAGGGGATTGAACCAGCAACCTTTCTGATGACAAACTCACTTCTCTAACCTTTGGGCCACCACTGCCCCAACTGTTTCATTTTTTAACTACTATGCAACAAGTGTCGCTGTCCACTTTATTTCTGTACCTTCTGTGTCCTTGTTGTCTTATATGTTCTACTACCACAATAAGGGCCAATTGTGGAATAAATTAAAGTCTGTGCAGACACAGGGGCTTGAATCCACGTCTCTCAAACTACAAGAACAAGTTCGTAGCATTTATTCTCCTTATTTTACATTATTAAGTGAAATATGAATTCAACACTAGCTTAGTTGCCATACCTTGTCCAAGTACATCATAATGTTGCAACTTAGAGCCAAATAAAACTCTCGCCACATACAGCAACTCATCCTGAGTCTGCAGACAGCAGGTCGGCTGAGATAGGAAACTGTTCACATGCTGGTGTGTATGTGTGTGTCTTGTCCTCACCGTGTGCCTGGTCTCAGGAAGGAGCAGGTGCTGCCTCTGGTCCAGCCACAGTATGGGTCCCTGGAGGCTAGACAACTCCTGCACACACACACACCAATGAAAATAAAAAATGCTGACCTGATTCTTACAGCTGCCATTTTGGCAATTTTAGCAGTAAAACTCTCCCTGGGAAACTTAGAGAAAGTTACCTATCAAATATGGGAACAACCATTGATTTAGCAGGGAATTTAGCAAGCTTACTTTCTAGCTGGTTAACAAAGTAATTAGTTATGTAAAATCTAAAATACTGTATGTCCCTATGGACTCGAGATTTATCTATAGTGTGTTTTGAAATGTAATATGCGGAGGACCGGTGAAATGCTTAATCCTCATCTGCTATTCATCCTTCATACAGCAGTCACACATATTGTATCAAGTTGCTACTTGTTCTCAGCTTCCTGTATCTAAGTGTGATGTATGGCTGCTGTTAGATTCCTGTTCACAGTGCGGAGTTCTGCCTCTGATCTTCCCCATATGTGCGGTAATAAACCAATGCCTTCTTGGTATCCACAATGAATCACAATGTTGCGTCAAGTTAAATACGATTTCCCAAGAGGATACTCTTTTTCTTTAAAAATAAATACTAAACCAAACAAGCTAGCTGTGGTTTAACGAGCACATATGCCATCCACCAACTGCTGATCGAAACAAAAACAGAACTGCGAATGTTATGGGGATGACTACAGTAACAGGGAGAAAGCAGAGACAAATCAAAACTTGGCCAGTAAGCAGTACCTTGGCTAATGGCCACAACTACATTCAAACTGACCTAATTATAAGAAAGAAGAAACACTGAGGGGATGGGAAAATACTCTCCAAGACAAAAACAATGTGTGTTGCTTACTTCATGCAGCGTGAGTGCAGGTGACAGCGAGATGTGGGCACTCGGACCAGACAGGAGGGGAAGGCCAGCAGCAGAGTGTGGCTCATCCGGTCCAACGACAGAGACAAGAGCTGACGAGCCTGAGGAGAGTCCTCGCCACACCTGGAGACGGCGAGACACACAAGTGTAAAGACAGGAGGCAGAGGGTAAGGAGCCAGCAGAGGGAGGTCAATGTACTCTTTTTGGCCTCACATCAGTCTGTGACGGGGTCAAAGGCCTCATCTGTTGGTACTTCAACACAGACAACCCAGTGCCCTAACCCTCGTACGAGTGGTCACAACATCAGCAGACTAGGGTTTTATCTAGGCCTGAGCAGACTCCAAAGCTGTATGGTGAGAGGAAATAAACTCTCTTTTGTGTTAGCTGCCAGTGGAGGAAGCCCAAATCCCTGTTTTTCTGCCACTATTTTTTGATGGTCAGGTTTTTTACAGTAACACGCAGACTAACATAAGAATTCAATCTAAGTTGCTTGTTGGACGTAGTTTGTATAAGTTATGATCGATTAAAAAACAAACAATATGCTTATTTTCATAAATAACTCAAATAGAGCTGAAATCTTTAGCTGGTTAATCAATCAGAACAGCTCAAGATGATGGATGACACGCAACAAAGGGCCACAGGTCAGACTCGAGCCCATGGTTGCTGCAGCAAGGAATCAGCCTTAGTACATGGGGCGCAAGCTCTACCAGCTGAGCTACCCCCCTGGTAGCCCAGACTAAATGGTTATTATTAGAATAATTAAGTGAATAATTGTCACATTAACTGACAATAAAAATAATCATAAGTTGCAACAATGAAATCACAGTCTTCAATTATAAATGCAAATATACCTAGAATAGATATGGTAGGTCAAATAAATAACTGAGTAAGCTCTGCACTTCAATGTTAAAATAAAATATTTAAAATAAGTGTAATTAAAAAAAGCACTGCTGCTCTCTGGTTCTCAAATGGAGGCAGGCAACATGGGACCTACTCTACCTGAAGCAAAATGCCAAAATGTATAATTTACTGGAGATTAAGGACTAATATGTCTTGGCTCCTACTCACTTCTCTGGGTTGAATCCTTCCACCTCCTCTAGAAACACACTGCTGTGGGAGACAGAATCTCCACTCTGAACCATTAGAAACTTAAGGATGGTCCCTCGCGTCGAACCCAGGAACAAGACTGTACGGTTCTTATGGGGACCGGCTTCTGTGTCCACCACCATGGCTGTCAGCTGGTAGCTAGATAGATATGCACATTAGATACGTAGTGAATACATGTTTTTTTTCCTCCGAAGTAAATCTGCATGGGTGCTATCAAACAACTGAGTCAGTATGTGTACCGTCCCATAGTCTTGACCACCCAGGGTCTGTGCCCCAGTAGTGGAACGGTCTCATCCATCAGTGGGTGGGTCTTCACAAAGTTCAGCACCTCATCTGGCAGCGTGGTGGAGGAGCTAAATCTGGATCCCTGCACTGCACATCCCCCTGGTCTGCAGACGGAGAAAGAAAGAGAACAAGAGAAAGTGAGCATTGAAGAAAAGATAGATAGGAAAGAGAGACATAGTTTAGTCCAGAGAGAGCAAGAGGAAAAGAGCCAGAGGACTTCTCTTTGTGGCTGCTGGAGGCTGTATTAGAATATTTGCTGAATAGTAGTGAAGTTGCTGTATGACTGACAGTTGGAGCTTATAGCGGGAGGGAGTAAGTGGACTATATGTGAGACAGATGCTCAGGACAGCAGCACTGCAGCATTCTGCCCAAGTTCTGCTCACATACACTTTGCATAATAATACCTCGGTTTAGGCACTGCCTCATCCGGTACAGGAGTCCAAATAGACTCTGGGGATTTCTGCTCTTTAAACCGGCCCTCGAACACATGAGCCAGCTGCTGCATGTCAAACACACACACCGCAGAGCCAGGGATGCTAGCAGAGAAAAAAAGACAGTTGATGAGAACAAAATAGTGTTTGCTTCTCTGTGTGCACGTTGTGTTGCATCTCTGTACCTGTTTGGTGGTGTGGAGAAGAGACCCAGGATGACGTCTCGTCCCTGCATGTGGATGATGCCACTCGTGGCGTGTAAGAGGTTGAAGTAAAAGTGTGAATCTCCTGGGACGGAACAGTTGAGCCGTGCCTTCAGAAATGTGGTCCACTGTTTCTCGAGGACACGCTGAGAGCCACCCAAGTCCGCCTTGCACACACGAGCCACGCGGGACACCATCACCTGGAATAAAAAGAGCGAGGTTCAGCATAATAGACGGATAATAGAAGAAAAGAAGAAGAAAGAGGGAGAGAGAAAGAAAAAGAGCACCTTCTCTAGATGATGAAACTCCATGGCCATCTCTCTGAAGAAGAAATAAATATGAGGCCCCCACTCCATGGAGCTCACAAAGTAGGGTTCTAAAAATTAATAAGAGGAAAACACTGTCAGACAAACAAACACACACTCGCACATACAGAACAGTGGCGCCGCAGGGCCTGGGGCCAAACGTATCGCTCCACAGTCCTTGACATGGCGCTGTAATAACAGTCACATCAACATGGATGACTGCTGTCCACCGGCCTCGCTCATTAAGTATTCATGTCCTGTTTAATTCATCATCATAGACAAGAGGATTCACATTATTTATCATTTATTCATCCAGCACTGTTTCAGCTTTGACCTGCCCCAGCTTGTGTTTTTTCTCCATGGAAAACAGGATTCAATCGAAGGCTTGTTAAAGTCCTGAATCTGTAGAGTCTAACTAACCTCAGTACATCACTCTGTCTGAGCCTGTTCCAGTTATAATGAAGCTATTAAATGTAGGCCTAATCATGTTTGGTTTCCCTCAGTGTAGCTTATTATTTGGCAGCCCAAAATCATCTAACTCACCTCATAAGCCACTGACGATTAGACAGCCTTGTCCATTTAATTTCCTTTTAGTGAACTACTGAAGATAATGGCGATGGTTTCCTTTATTTTCTTCCTGACTGTCTATTGAAGGTGTCTGGCTCTGAAGGGTCATTTATGCGTCTGTTTCTAAAAGTACCTCTGAACCATTTGGAGTCGTGTTTGACTGTGCGGAGGGCGGGGCTGTCGCCAAGGCTACGATAGATCACTGCGTCGATGGCCAGGAAGTCTGTCACAGTGCCGGTAAAGAGACTTCCATCTGAAAGTGAGAGAGAGATGCACAGAAAGAGCAAAGGAGGAGATTAGGAAGAAGGGGAAGATACAGATGGAGAGATAGCACAAGGTCAGGAAGATTAAAACCAAACAAGCAATGCACCGAGAGGTCTGACTATAAATCATTTGTAAAGGTAAACACAAGGGCACAGATGTTTCAGTGCCTGGAGCTGAAAACTGAGTTTGATGTCTGCTAGAAACCCTGAATTCTTCATCTTTAGTGTGCAAACACAAAATACTACCTGCAAATAAAGCCACATTGGCATGCCGTGGATCATATGGACAACGTGCCATCCCACTGACAGGCTCTCCCACCATTTCTAGAGTGTCTCTCTGCAACAGGAAAAAAAAAAATATAGATAAATAAACTGGCAGATACAAAGAGAATGACCAGACTGACGGATAGATGGACACTAACAGTGTAGTTGGCACACAGCGGGTTGAAGGCGTTTGTTCCACATACAAACAGGCCGCCGTGTTGGCTGAGTAAGACCTTGATGAAATTACGGCACTCTCCCTGTAGAAAAAAAAAAAAATTATTTAAGAGGAGGAGAAAATCACAAGTGTAAGGTAACGTGAAAAAGGCGGTTTTGAACCAAAGCTAAGCCTGAAACTACCAGTCAGAGTGGGAGGACTGCCAGCGTGAAGTATTAAGAATGCAGCTTAAAACAATCCTTAGAGGAAATAACACCCTCAGACACACTCCATCGGGAAGAACAATAGGACGGGGACTTTACAGCTGTCTTCAAAGTGGAGGCTGTTGATTGAGATGATAACTAAAGCTGCTACTGCTGAATCTGAAACTGGATGACACAGGTCAGCCCCTCTCTTCCTTTGTGATCGTACAACAGTGTCTGATGACACGAAGTTGCAAAGATGGAAAAATAATAAACCTGTGTAGGTTGATGATTTGTTCAGTGCATCTTCTTGATATTGACTTGCTTTCTGGCAAACAGTATGTGTGACTAAGTGACTAAGTGAATTTATGTTTTGTTGGAGGAATATTTTGCATAGAATAACATTATTTTATTGTTTGACACAGTCTGTATCACAGTCTGTGTTTGAACTGTGCCGGGATTATTTCTGATCAAATGAAACTAGCAGGCAAAACAATTTTGCCATTCAAATGTGGAATTTTCCTCCTGATCATATATTGGTAATATACAGCAAGAAATTACTGTATTTCCAAAAAAAACTGTTCCTTTAACAACATTAATAATGAATGCATTATATTCAGATGTTTCAGTTCAGTTCAGTAGGTACTGCTGGCCCACTGGCACACCCGAATGGAACAGGGCCATTGTTATTACGTTAAAACATCCACCTGTGTTTTCCCTGCTATGACATTTCAAAATGTCTGCGGGAAAAAATTCTATTTTTGGACTGTAATAGCTTTAACTAGGCGATGCTGCACACTTACCTATATATGCTATGAGACTGTAAAGCATTAAGACTGTTCTAGTATCTGTTCTACTGTATGTCACATTTTTCACAGTTGCATCTATCATGCCATATACCCTGAACTTTATAATTTGATCTCTTCATCCAAGTTAGCAGGCTTTAGCTAACATTCTTCCCCTTTCTGTCTTTTCTCTTCCTCCTTTCATGCTCTGGCCAGCTCAGGCCAGTCTTTCTCCTCTAGTCTTTGTTCCCTTTTTTATTGCAGCTTTAATTCCTTTTATTCGCTCCTACATCCTTTCTGCTTTCATCTGTGTTCTTTGAAGCAACGCATCTTTTCCTTTTGTTGTCTCTCCGCCTCTTTCTTACTACCTGGTGGCTGCCCTGTCCTCCTTATATGTTTCTTCCCCACTTGGCTTCCGCCTACACACATCCCATCCCTAGCCATAACTCCCTTCCTCAACTGATTTCAATTACTGTTTCCTCCCTGAGGCTGTGTCACTCTGTCCGCTCAGTTTGCTCTATAATGTTTCCTGTTGCCTCCTTTTCTTTTTCCGAAACTTCTGTCCAGATTGGATTTTGCTGGAGGCACTGCTACATTTATATAATAAAGCTTATATTTTAGGGTACACCCTGTCAACCAAGCTACCATGCCATCAAATCTCTTTCCCTTTTGGAGATTTGATCACATTCGCTTCATATCTCAGAACAATGCCGACTATCTTTATATTCACTCATAATTGTTACACTCTCTAGTCTTTCCCACAGGCTATGGATGAGATGTATGAAGAAAACTGGCACAATGCAGGTGTGGAAGAAAATGGCTTTCAAGCTTCATGGACATCTTGGGGCCTGGGTAACGTTTCACTGAGCTAGTGTGATTAAGTGATGTGCTGATTCTGTATCAACAAGATCAAATTTGTGTAAATACCGTATGCAGGTGCACCCAAAGGAAATAAGGTTTCTCTAACAGCTGTTGTGTCTGTCCATGCATGTGATAGTATAGATGGTGTTGATGTACGTGAGAGTGGATCTCAAAGTCAGAGTGTTACTCGAGCACTGTACCTCATGTTTGCCCTTCATCCGGCACACCCGAATGTCGTTCTTATTGGATTCCCATGTCCGTTTCTGTCGGAGGAATGAACCACAGTCAGAATATGTTTGCTATGTGTGTGTGTGTGTGTGTGTGCATGTTATCAGTTATTAGAACATGTTTGGTTTTATGTGTGCACAACTAAATTAGTCTTACCTTGCTGTAGAACATCTCATCACCTGCCATGTTATCTAGCTCCACTCTGTACAAGTCATCTCTACAAAACACACAACACAACAACACATCAGTGCCAATATGATACGAATTATAAGGATGCACTGATATATCGGCCCAGCATCGCTATCGGCCGATATTCGTCTTGTTGACTGACATCACCAATGTCAGTGGCTGATGTTTATCTGTTGTATCACATCAATGTTGTGCCGGCTGAATTTTTTGTTGGTAATTTCCAACTCGGATATTGGAGAAATAATCACCTCCGTTTTCCAGCACTGGCACAAATTGCATGCAAATACCGATGTGCATACTGCACCAACACGGACAGTGAGCAGATGTTCAGCTCTGGGTCTCATCTTGGATGAGAAGAGAAAGAGACTGAGCTGCAACAAGGCAGAGAAGCTCATCTTTGTATATTTCTTTGCTTCCCTGGTACAAAAGGGTGAAAAAATAACAACAACAACAACAACAACAACAACAAAATTGTTATCAGCATTGGCTATTGGCCAAATTGCTATTTTAAACATTGGTATTAGTAGTGGTCGAGAATTTAACAATTGGTGCCTCCCTAGCACTAATATATTAATAGGATATGATAGCTGATAGACTGTATAAACAATGTGTAAGGTAGGGGTCAGCAATTAGCCAGTTCTTTCAGCATTGTTCATTGAGGGGCAAACATTTCACAAGCCTGGTGGAAATGCCTGTATGATTTTAACAACTTTTATTTGAATTCATTTCAGAATAAATCTAAAAACATTTTGTTGTAGAATTGTATCAGACAGCAGATGTAAATTTTCCCATTACGAAGTGAGGGCTAACAGGGCTACAGCAGCTTATGTTAATACTCATTTGGAAAATAATGAGTGTATATGTAAGTATACGGTATGTGAGTGTATGATCTGTGTTGCGCAAAACAGTCGCCTACTTCATTTATGGCTGAATGAAATTGTTATTGCCATATTATTATTTTTTTTATATGAGCACTCAATTTCTGCCACCTGTTTGTGTTTTTATGTGACACAAATCTGTTCTAGTCAAACAGGCAAAAACTGTGGAATTAAAACAGAATTAAAACTGATTTGTGTTACTCATTTAGTAAATGTCTTCATTTCAGGATGAGACACTAGTGTTTGCACGGGGCAGTATTAGATCTCATAAGGTCATATTTATTGTGATTTATATAAGACTTATAGTTATTTTGTGATGTGTTATATGTTTATAATAAATCATGTAAAAGTTTTGATGTAAACTATGTAAGTGAACAATTCAGCTGGAGGACCAGATTTGGCCCAGAGATGATTATTTGCCCACTGAAGAGTATTGTGAACAAACAGCTTTCACATGACATTTAACAGCAAACTGAATGTCTTCTACAGGGTGACAGCAGATGGAAGCTGTGGCATCAAATGAAAGCAAAAGGATATTAATGCGAGAACGTCAGTAGCACACAGTTGGAGGCGGTTGCCGTTGGTTACCTGGCTCCTATGTAGAGCGTGCGGTTGACTTGGAGGACTGTCTGGATGTGCAGCTCCTGTCTCTGAGCTGAACGATGAGCTCTGCCCAGGAACACTGGATACCTCCGCACAACTGACGTGAACACACAGATACGAATACAGTGAAGCGCTTACTGAAACAAATTAGAAATAAAGTGCCTTGCTCAAGGATACTTTGACTGCTGATGACAGAGAGAATACTTTTTTCCACACACCAAAGAACTCAGGCAGGCCATAAAACAGCTTCTCTAACCTTCACTTTAATAGTGTCTTCACTCATTCTTGATGCTTTTGTTTAAGAAAAGAAATTGAGAGACGAATGGTGTAGCAGTTTAAGCACACTGAAACACTTTTATCCTCTTAGTGTTTTTTTTGTGTGCTTTTGTTGATGCATGCAGCTGCATAATGAGAAAAGCTGTGTGCAATCATTATTGTTATTTCATTGTGTAAAAGAACATTCCCTCCCTGTCCTTCCTACATTTTAGATAAATGAGAGAGTACAGATGAAGTGGAGAGAGAAAGTGGCAGTATCAGACTCTGAGAAAGTTTCCAAGAGGAGGACAACGGTATCCACAGGGAGCCCTCATCATCAGGAGACAGATTGGGAAAACGTCTCATTGTCCTTGACTGCAGGGGAGGGAGAGGGAGGACGTAGCGATCCATCTCCACCTGTCTACTCCCCTTCTCTCTTCCACCCCTCAGCCTTCTCTCTTGTCATCTGTATCACCCCATCCAATCCAATTGTCTCCCACTTTTTCATCTTCCTGCACCCCTTAACACCTATACCAATCATTTCTCTTTCCTTCTTCCTGTCTTTATATCTTTCTTTATTTCTTGCTCATATTTATTAATCTACTATACTGCCGTTGAGAGACGGAGTGAAGCGTCTTTATCTATCTGTATGCCTGGGTAGCTTCAAAGCAGTTCCACACCAAGGCTCTGACCCTTGACCCCTGATTTCCACATCCACCATGGAGCCATTCATCATTGCTGCACGTACAGACATGCACTCACACACACACACACACACACACACACACACACACACACACACACACACACAAGTGGGAAGGAAACATACCCTCTACAGGGACGTAGCTGAGAGGACTGGGTTCCTCTGGGAATGAGCCATCAGCCAGTTGAAGCAGCAGGAGGAGAAATGTGAGGGGAGGAGCCATGGTCGCCATGGCAGCAACACACATGCACTGTTAACAGAGAAAGAGAAGGGAAAGATTTCATTGTTGTGCACTCAATATTTTTCTGTGCGTGCATGCATTGACATTTTGACAGATTTCTCATTCAACAAGTGTGTGTGTGTGTGTGTGTGTGTGTGTGTGTGTGTGTGTGTGTGTGTGTGTGTATGTGTGTCTGTGTGTGAGACAGGACAGGGTCAGAAGTGCAGCAGGGTGACTGCTGTCACCAACCTGTCTTCAGCAGGGAGCTAATGTGTTTCTATTGTCTGCTTAGTGGTGTAATGGGGATCTATTGTTAGAAATGTCACTCCATTGTCAAACAGTTTGAATTGAAGGGGATTCTCACAGCCATATAACAAACAGAGAGACAAAACATTCACAGGATTACAAAGCCCCCTCGGGTGGTAATGTTTCTTTCAATAAATGTGTTTCTATATGGACATATGGAGGCTGTATAAGTCGTAAATAGTGACAAAATAGCTGGTCTTTATAGATCAGAGAGTGAAAGTAGAACACAGAGAGATGAAGGGAGTGACTTGGGTAAGCTGGACAAAGTCTTTCTACAGGTCAAAAGTCAAGAATGCCCTATATCATGCGAAAGGAAAGGGGAGGAAACTGATTTTGGTCTTTAAAAAGTTAGGAGGCCACAGAAGGGTCATGCTGTGTAGGACACACAGACTTACACACATACATCGATCAGCCATAACATTATGACCACCTGGGCACCCTGGTGGTCATAATGTTATGCAGCCTCATACACAACAAACTGTGATGCACTGTGTGTTCTGACACCTTTCTATCAGAACCAGCATTAACATCTTCAGCAGTCTGAGCTCTAGTAGCTTGTCTGTTGGATCGGACCACACGTGCCAGCCTTCACTCCCCATGTGCATCAATGAGCCTTGGCCACCCATGATCCTTCCACTTTTCCTTCCTTGGACCACTTTTGATAGGTACTGACCACTGCAGACCGGGAACACCCCACAAGAGCTGCAGTTTTGGGGATGCTCTGACCCAGTCGTCTAGCCATCACAATTTGGCCCTTGTCAAAGTCGCTCAAATCCTTATGCTATTTTTCCTGCTCACACATCAACTTTGAGAACAAAATGTTCACTTGCTGCCTAGTATATCCCACCCACTGACAGGTGCCATGATAAGGAGATAATCAGTGTTATTCACTTCACCTGTCAGTGGTCATTGTGTTATGGCTGATCGGTGTACATAAAAGATGAAGGCCACAAGGCTGAAGAGTTAGAATGTTTATCTGACATGGCCAAACTAAACTGGTGTAATTGGGATTAGTCAACTTTTTCCTGCAAATCTGTGTGTGCTACCTTTTATACCTTTGGGTGTTAATCCTGGGTGGGAAGGCACATCCTCTCTCTGATCTAATACATAAACAAGACTTAGAGCCTGCAGTCATGCATGTGGCTCTGTGAAGCTGCTGTAAGCACACAGATGCTTTGAGCTAAATGCCACCATCAGCATGCTAACTGGCTCACAATGACAATGTTAACATGCTGGTGTTTCATCTTTACCATGTAGACCATCTTAGTTTAGCATGTTAGCATGCTAATATTTGCCAGTTAGCATTAAAATTCCAGCTGTTATATATGCCATTAGTTTTGCAGATATTACTGGATAAATAGATTTGTTGACTGTGGCACTAGAAGGAAAGTCGGGGGATCACCAAACTGAATATTTGTACAATCCATCCAATAGTTGTTGAGATAGTTTAGTCTGGACCAAAGTGGTGGACCGACAGACCAACAGCGTGGCTAAAAATCCATGTAAAGGCCGTCAAACTGTTCAAAACAAAGCCCCACGTTGTATATCAGCATCTCTTTCACTTATAAAGTCGAGACAGTGGAATAACACTACTGCACATAAGTTACTACCAGTCATAAATTGTGGCAGCCACACCATCAAACACATGTTTAAATGTAGAAGCTTTTTTGTGCATTTACTCAAAATGCCTCTGGCTCAGCAACACAGCTTGCTTGGCAGAGCGAACTGACTGTCTTTGATGTGAGAATACTTTGAAAACGAAGAGGAGATATAAAGAGAAGGAAAGAAAAGACAAGACAAAATAGGAGAACAAAAAAGGGTGGAGTATTTGGGTTTTGTCTTGGTTTTCTGAGAGTGCTGCTAAAACCCTGAAAAATATGGAGTTAGATGGAACACAAATGAAAAGAGAGGTTATAGAGATTGAAGAAAAAGACATGAGCAATATGAATTCTGTTCGCATCAAATCAACCTGAATACCATGTTTCCCCCAACCCCCGCTTATTTCCTTTCATCCTCCATCTCTCTCCCTCCATCACCCACCTCCTCCCTTCATTTCTCTTTCTTTATATCTCCCGGCTTGTCTGTGCCAGGATAAAAAACCCCTCGACTGTTTTCAAAGATAGAACACCAGGTAGAGAGGTAGATGTGTTAGTTGCTAAGGTGATGACAACTGCTATTTGAAGCACACAGATGCACCCAGATGTAACACGAACATACTCATATACATAAGCACATTCACCTGTGTTGCCAACACTTTAGACTTTGCATGCGTTTGAGTGACAAGCTGTTTGAAGACATCAGTGAGGCGATGTGGGCTATATACTATACACTGGGGGCCACTTCAAATGAAATTCTAGCCCAGAGATTGCAGGTTTGACATCTCTAAGCCTTCTCCTCATCAGAAGCATTGGAGAAGCCCTGAAGGGGGGGTGGAAGGCTTGTTTCGACTGGCTCTCCATTGGGATTCCCTGAGCTAGAACTGATTGAGTCAGGTTTAAGGTCAACCTCATTTCGTTAGAGGGATCCAAATTTGATGCTTAAACCTGAAATGAAATGCTGTGGTCTTGTGTGTGGACTGGAGGGTTGGATGGCTGGAATTAAATGAAACCTGTGTTGCAGTGAGATTAGGCATCTTATGGTTATGGACCAGCTTTGTCACATTAACCCCTTGCCACCGAGTGGCACAGTTTGTGTCAAAAAAGTCAATTGCATATTTAAATGTCCATAAATCAGTTTAGGAATTATAGAAAAAATAGGTTCTTGATTAGTCAGGACTTTCCTGAAAATCATCACATTTTTAAGTTTTCTTCAGTAACAAAGTAATATGGTGATAGTTACCTATACATCAATGGATACACTGACAGGAAGAACTGCTAATAGCTAATTGAGCAACTTTTATGGTGCCAATTTGCCAAAATGTAAACAAATATGGATTAAAAGAGGCTGTGGGAGTATCACAGAATCCATGGTGACATTAAACTTCCTGTTTACATCCCCCAAACACTATGGAAATTGTAGTTCCAAATGTGTAAAGTAAGACAAAAAAATAATACTAGGAGTGTCAAAACCCATTAATATGAACTTTCTTCACGTTGCACTATCACTATCTAATATATACTCATACTCATGGTCAGAATGTCCCATTTACTTGCACCCATTCATATACAGATATTTGCCCTGTATTGTAAACATGTGGATATACATACAAAACAAATTATACGTATGTATGTATGTATAAAACAATTTATATATAACTGTCCTAGAACATGTAAAATATACTATTAACCTGAAACTATTTAAAAAATTGAGCAGAAAAGCCTGTGCTTCAATCCCTCTTTCTTCTCTCTCTCTCTCTCTCTCTCTCTGCTCCAACACACTTGCAAACAGACTGCACATGCTACATACCAAAACCCTGTGGTCAATCATTGATGGAGCCTCCTCATTAGAGTGTGTATTGATTAAGGTTATTGATCCCTAAGATAAACCATCAGATCTGGGCCAAGGCCAACATATGAGAGCTCTGCTGCTGGCTAGTGCCATGACAAAAGCAGTATTTTTAACGCTCTGGGCTATAAAAAGAGGTTCGGGGCAGTGCTTTGACGTTTGGTTATCAACGGTTGTGATTTTTTCCCTGCTGAGCCGAAAGACAGAAAAGAGGATGGATGAAAGACAGAGACGGTTTGAGTAAAAGACAAAAAAAAGGAAAAAGAGATACTGCCTGCTACAGACTTCCAGCTCATCAAGCTATAAAAAACAGACCGCTGGTGACAGGATGAGTATCAGGAAATCAAGGGAAGAGAGACAAGCTTGTGCAAAGAAGAAAGGGTGTTATGCTATTTGTGTCAGATCATGTTGGTGTGATAGGATTAAATGGTGTGACAGTGACACGGTTATCATGGGATGCATGTAATGACGGCGACAGCCACACAGTGTAATCTAGCCTCATCAGGCAACCCATTAGCAAATCACCTGCTAACACTCACATCATTAACCAATCAGCAGGTCATCTGAAGAAGCATAATCACCTGCTTTCACCTCTTATCAGTCTGTCCATATGTTTTGTCCTCATCAGCTGGGACTGAGCTCCATTTCATAGTCTTTTTCTCCAGCGTGCTCTTGTTCGCCAGTCTCAGCTGTTCTGACAGGAATGACAGCGGGTAAGCAGCATGCTTGGAATTTCTATACACACCCAAACTGTTAGAAAGATATATATTTAATGATTATCTATCTAATATTTACCCATGATTCCATTCTAAAATGCCTCAGTGGCCTTTAGTGTATATTGGACATACTCATATTTGCACAGGGCATCTCAACTATTAAAGCTGCTGAGCAAGATCAATACACTCTCATCCTGCTAAAAAGAGACTGAATAAAGAGCACCATCCCTGTCCTCAGTGAGGAGGCTTATACTGACCACGAGGAAACACTGAAACATACAAAATAATGATAATACAAAAGGCTTCAGCAGTCTGTCTGAAGGCCCAGATACACTGCTAACAAAACTCAACATCACTGATGTCAAGATGCTTGAGCCCTGACCTGTGCTGCACCCTACTACAGTACAGCCATTAATTAATCCTTTGATATGTGTGTGCATTCATATGTGTGACAGAAACCGGACAAATTTGGAAATTGGAGCGAAATTTAAACACATCTTTCCACGGCATTGACATTTCGCTCGCCACTGTATCTGAACTGTGTTTTCTGATGCATTTCGTTAAATCTGTTGTTGTGATTAGGGCTACAGGCAAAAATCTTTCCCTCACTCTCTCTGTTTTCTCCCTGTGTCTCTCGCTCTCTCTTTAGCTGCTGCAGCCACTCCACTCTGTGCCTTTGTTACCGTAGCAACCAATAGCAAAGCTAGGCAGAGATGTTCTATTGCAGTAGATGTAAAAGCGAGGAGGGCGGGTTCGCTCTCTAACACACACATGAGCACATATGTGTGAGCATACACACATGCATACACACACTGATGCATACACTTAAGCATGAACCCAGATCCACGTACATTCATATGAGTGTGCATGAACACGTACATGGACACAGATATAGGGAGGTGGGGGTCCCCTCTCTCTCAGCAAGGAGGGGGATGGGGGAGCTGCAAGCATTTTGTCTCCACATTATCCACATACCGGCAAGACAGTATATCTCATTTGAAATCAATAGATCAACAATGGAAAATATTAATTTAAAACACAACCATGCATTAACCATTCACTTAGAAATGATGCTTACTGCTAAGCCTTTTTTTCATGCAGGTTTCCCCTTCAAAGATGTAATATTTTATCCTGAATGAGCTGACTGGGTGATCATTGCTCCATGTTTGTGTAAAACCATTCAGACACTCATTAAAAAGAACCATTTTACTGGACATAAGGTAAGCTATAATGTCACAAACTTTATTATATGAAGAAGTATGTGTGAAGATGACTCTCTTTTTTTAATACTTGCTGTAAGTGGAAGCTCTGAGACTTCCTCTGCTGGATTATTATGACAATTTAATTCAGCAATTATAAACAAAAAAGAAAGAAAAGAAAGCTACAGTTAGATTCAAAAGTGTAAACTGTCAAAAAAAGAAGAAGAAATGATATATCAGCATTAAGACTGAAACAGAATCCTTTACACCCTCTTTTCATTTTATAACACACTCGCTCCTTGAGGACAGTATGCAGGTTAAAGCCCGGAATAAAGTAAGATGGCCTGAGGGTGGAAACACAGACATGGACTAAACTGGGAGAAGTGGGTCACCTTCACACTTCAGTACTCCACCCTACAAGCACTACAGCTTCATTAACAGACTTAAAACAGATTTCCACTGAAAATGGAAAGGCCGTGAACAAAACGGAACCATATTACAGGTTTTTCTTACTATGGTACAGTGCTATATCCAGATAACCAGATATTAAAGTCTGGACAAACACTATATGACTCCACAAAATAAATATCTCATAGCTTGTCCATCAACAACACCAAAGGTGCATTAGGATTATGTAACAGCGGTTACCCCCATCTCGCCTCAAGCTTTAAGGCAAAGTTAGAGTGAGTTCCCAAGTTAAAGGATCCGATCGATGTGATACCTACAGCAGCTATTTCAAATTTACTTCACACTCAGGTAGTGAAACTGCCATGGAGAGAAAATAGAGTACAATCGTATATATCCTTTTATGTACAAAGACGCATTTCACACAAAATAAGTGTAAACAAGACTCAAACATTTGACAGAAAACAGAGTAAATATGGACAGAGCATCTGTTACTTCACCTGTATATTTTGAAGCTTGTGTTTGGGATTTGTGTTTTTTTAAGTCTAATATATTTTTTAAAAGAAACTTTATCCCCACAAAGTGGTTTGTATTTCAAGATAGAAGTTGGGAATTCTCTCTCACACTTTCAGGAGAAACCATAGAGACTGTAGAGAAATATTATCACTTTCACGCTGGTTTTAGCATTCAGATTGACCAGATTGCCACTTGATTAAACAATGTATGACTCCCACATGGGTCTAAACATTGACTGTATATAAAAGAATCCACAGGGGTAAAAGCACAATGTAATAATTGGCCCACCAGACTACCGGTATGCAGTACTACTATATTGTTAAACTTCCTTATTAAAGGATTTTGCGAAATATGCTTTGTTGCTTTCTGGTGGAGAGTCAGATGAGAAGATTGATATTACTCTCATGTCTATAGCCAGGGGCCAGTTAGCTTAGCTTAATACAAAGACATGAAACATGGAGAAACAGGTAACCTACCTCTAAAGATAATTAAAAAATCCACCTACAAGCACCTCAAAAGAAAATTACAACTCTGGCTTAGCAGTGGCTTCCTGGAGTTTTCAATGGTTGCCTGGCAACAGCTCTCAGCCACATAATCTCCCGTAAAATGGCGTAAAAACTAAAATTAACATCGTTAGACTTTTTGTGCGGATTGAAGAAACAAGATGTTAATTAGCGCGCTTAACTGATACGAGGATATTTCTAACCTTATGACAGAGCCAGGCTAGCGTGCAAAGCTAAGCTAACTGGCTGCAGCTTCACATAGACATGACAGTGGTATCAATCTTCTCATTGGACTCTCCACCAGAAAACTATTGAGCATATTTCATAAAACATCAAAGTATTTCTTTAATTTCACATTGTCAGAGAATTTTTTAAAGATAAAATCTCAGTTTATAATTGTTGTCCACACAATAATGTAGAGTTAACTGTGATTTTTATTAAATACATGCCCTCATTGTCGGCTGGGGCTTCAGAGTTTGATTCAGGTTCCAAATTGTTGCTGTGGGAATCATATTTATTAGTCGTATAAAAAAAACTCTCATTACAGGTTTCAGTAGCTTACTGGTTGAACCACACAGCGTCAAAGCAAACAGGTCAGAGTGAAGAGAAATGAACAGATAGGTGGATAGATCAGATAGACAGACCTGTTCACATGCACTCATATACAAACACAGGGAAGAGCATATGTGTTGTTGCACATGCTCACCCATGCACACGCACACACAATCATGCTCTCTTCAGCAGTGGAATCACTGTGTCAAGTCTTTATCTTATCGAGGTGGAGGCGCTATTCCCTCAAGTGGCTGCCTGTCTCCTCAGAGCAGGTCTAATCAGAGTTAAGGGAGTCTGTCTTTTGCTGTTAAATATCCTAAAATACTATTCAATCTACAGGGCCATTTATATGCTAATGCTAAGGTTACCTCTGCATAGGCATTTGACGCAGCTGTGTGCTGCCTGTTAGGTTATTTGCGCAAGAGGGGAAAAAAGATAGGAAGAAGAGAGAAATGGCGAGAGTGAATGAACAAAAGGGCGAGATGAAAAGAGAAGATGGTAAAAGAGCGAGAAGGGAGATGAAGGAAGAGAGGAGAGAAGAAACAGAGGCACAGAGGAAGGGAGATATTCCCCTGGGTGAGTGCCATAGGTAATTAAAATAGGATGGACAGAGCTGGAGTCTAGCCAGAGAGAGCTCCATCTCCCCTTAGACTTCTTCCCCAATCAGGCCTTCTGCCTAAAGCCAAATTGCTGCTAGTGACAGACACACAGTAGTCTATGGATGCTGTGAGTTATCAGCTCATGGATAATGGACATGTACATACAGTGGGATAAACACACTCAGAAATGCAGGTGCACAGCAATCAAACACTCGCAAATGACTCAATTTTGGCTACAAAACAGGTCATGTATGTTGCCTGGTGCAGCACTGAGACCCAAATACACAGAAACATACACGAAAACACAACACACACACACACACTAACACACACACATTTATGGTGCTGTACAAAGCTGCAGCAAGGGCAAACGTTACTAACCAGAGTTTGACTGCAGTAAGCACATATACATTCACTGCACAGCTCTGAGCTAGAGGCGAGCACATGAGTATGCAGTGCACGCACTCAGACACACACTATGAGCACAGAGTCGAACACACGCACACTCCAGTACGTATGACGGCAGTGAAGATGCAGTCTAATTACAGTGACACTGATTTTTTTTTTTTGTAACACTGATATTATTCTGTTTTGCCACGCAGTGTTAATGCTGCACTTTGTACTGTACAAGGTAATCCATGACACCTGTCTTAAGCATGTCTTAAACTGACTTTTGTGATTTATACAATACAAAGAAGAAGCATCTTAATGCTTAAAAATTTGAGTTTTTTTCATATGAGCATATTGTCATACCAGCCCAAAACATTTTTGGGGGATATTTTTGGTATGTTTGCTTTCTGTGCAACAGCCCAGCATCTCCCTGCCTTTCATTTTTGGATTTAAACAAAGACTATGCTAAATAGGCTGTGCTAATGTCTCAACGTGGCAGCCATTACCATATATTTCATACGCTGTTAGTGGCTTCTCTTATGCTGGCGTTGAAGGAGGCACAGGCTGAAAGGTAGCTCATATTCTCGTTGTGTTATTCTTTGTGTGCTGTGATCACTAGTAAGGGTAAATATAGCTCTTTTGGCAGAAGCCTGCTAAGAGGATCACAGCTCACAATAGGTGGTCTTCACACAACAACAGATATCAAAATGCCAAAGAACCTGCTCATGGATTGACATGTGCACGCATGCACATGATGCATGCACGCACAGACACACACCTGCAGCATACACACACCCATACGCAGAGACAGCACCTCCCATGAGAGCTTTCTCTCCTCCTCGCAGGTATAATTGTGTTTCTGCTCCTCTGCTCTCAGTTGTGACTGGGCGCCAGATGAAAAGACATAATTAAAAGAGAAAAGTTGTGTTTGTTGCAAAGAAGGGATGGGTATGGGAAGAGGACAAGATGAAGGAAGGAGAAAGATTAGCCACAACAACAAAGCTTCATCAGGATACAAAACCATCTCGAGTAGCTGGGAGACAAAGGACTTGGATGCTCCTTTATCTCCCAATAAAAAAGTCTCCCAATCCCTGTGGCTAAGCTGCCATAACTAAAGCCTGCCGCTGGCTTAGGTCTTCGCTGAATTTGTTGGACAACAAAAGCAGCAAAATATGAGAAGATAGACCAAGCACCCGAGAAATATATATACCTCCATTCATTTTGCGCAAAGAAGTAAAAAGTCAAGTGCCTCAGCAGTGGCATTTGAGAAAAGGTTACTTTTTTATTTGTTTATTTTGTTTGTGTGTGTGTGTGCGATGTGTTTAAGTGCCTCAGTGAAAGCACGAAGTGGAGGGTCATTTTCTCACTCTCACTGCAATTTTGTGATGTAAATGAGAACACAGAAGGTAAAAGATTAGACCACCTTTATCTTTCTATGTTGAAACAGCTGTGATATCACTCCCAACCAGGAGGACCAGCTGCATGCAAAAAGATTCATTTGAGAGTCATACTTCTTATGACCCTTACACACACACACACACACACACACACACACACACACACACACACACTACAAACAAAACACACATAAAACATGCATGTGTGTACCCTAAACATGCTGTCAAACATGCTGTTAACTGCCTGACCCTTGGATGTTGTTAAGGTGACACAGTGTACAGAACAATACACCGCAAGTTGAACACACATGTCAGCATGTGCAGAGACCACACAATGTGCTGGGATTAATAAAAAAGAGGCTGCACCTCAGGAGAGGGATCAGCGAAGACAGAGAGTCATAAAACTGAAGATGCACGGCCAAGAGGGATTTTTACATTGAAAACAACTGCAAGGTATTATGACACGGTATATGTGGCTGATACAGCAACCAAATCCACATGGTGCAGCCACCTTGGCCACCTGAAAATCATTTATCTTGTGCAGTTTATGACACCGTGGACAATTTACAGCTGAGTTTGGCAGGTAAAGCTACTCGGCTTAGTGATACCCATTATCTTGCTCCTTTCCTTTTCAAACATCTGGAAGGACTTGTCTGAAAAGCCCAGTTAGGCTCCTGAAAGCCTCTCACATGAACACAGAATGTTTTGCATAGGAGAGTTTATTTTAAATACCAGTCTTAGAGTAAGAACTAGTTTCTGACAAGCAAAGAAAGTATGCCTGCGTGACTCCTGACCCTCTGGCCCTCATAATCCTGCACAATGACTCCCTGAGGCCCACACTCCGAGGACCATGCTGGAATAGGTCACCCAGCAGATGCCTGCTCGGCCAGATTCCTTCTGATCTCATTGCCCTGAGGTCGTCGGACTTCAACACCCTTTTCAAGTGCTGATTTTGTTCTAAAGAAACTCACCAAACCCTACCGCCAGATAAACACTGCACTAGGCGTGAAACTGGAACTTCAAAAATATACCGTAACGGGCTGCTTTTGAGGAAAATAAGCATTCCTTCAAATCTCCTGGCACTAATCATAACTAAGCATCATTGCATGATCTGATTAGAGTATAATCCTGTCTACTTTCTGTTGCAGAGCGCAGTGGTTACTTTGGGGCTGTTGGGAGTTGATACAGGAAGTTTGAAAGTTACTCAAAGTTCATCTAAACACTATAAGAGCGTACATTAACATTCCTTCGTATATAAGCAGAGCAGTGAGTGGGAGGTACCTCCAGACTGTGTGAAAACAAGGAAATCTACAGTGATTATCAGTTAGAGCGAGTGACAGAAATTTTAAGAAAAACAACAAGTTATTAAAAAAAATCTTTTGGTAGCTTCAAAACCTGTCCTATGTGAAAGACTCAAATCAACCCTATTGTCTGATATAAAGTAGAAACAGAAAACTGAAGGTTGAGTGAGCTCTTAGAGCCCCACAGTGTTAAAAACACGGAGTGTTTGAGTCACTCAATGTCCCTCTCTGTGTACCAGAGGTAAAGAGAGGCAATTTGTCGCCGAATGCTTGACGTGATCTCTTGGCGATAGGAACAGAGAAGCTGTTAGGTAACATGTCTCTCCTTCCAACATCTTCTGTCTGTTTCTCCTCACTCTATTTAACACACACAAAGATACACACACAAACACACACAAGATCTCAGACAGTCATTCTACACATTTCTAGAAACGTGCTCCTTAGCAACCCCAACAAACTAATCTGCCGTCAGTTTACTCTCTTTGTGGGTAGGCTGCATTATGCTGCAATCCAATCTAGGCCTTAATTTTTTTCCCCGTGCTTGAGATGCCCTGTTCGCAGCTTAGCATGTGTGATTGAATAGGGTCCTATGTGATCAATAGAGCTCATTAAATGTCCCTGTGGGCAGTTGTCTCCCCCCGAGGCTCTCTTAGATTGCTTTTACCTGCAGCCTGCTCTGCCCTTTTTGCTTCAAGTGGTTACCAACTTTGTTTGCGGCATAATTAATTTTCTAATTGAATTACTCAAGCCTGGCCTTTGCGTGCTATTTTCCCAAAATGTAGTTTGAAGTATCCATTCGGTTCCCTTCAGTATTGGCTGTGGCTGTTTTGACTGTGAGAAGGCTTTGGGATTGCTGTATGTTCGGGATGGGCGGGTGTTAGACTGCCTTCCGAAGGAAGAAGGCTGAAGGAAACAGTGGCTGCACCTGTTGTTCCCTGCGGTTGCTGTGTGGTGGGGTTAGCACCTGCTCACACGGCTGCTGTGTGGCTGTCTGTGTGGGCAGCAGGGATAACAGGGAGACCATTCACACCCGCTCAGACTGCTGTCTGCAGCCCCTCTCCCACAACGCTTGATCACTCTGCAAGCTCTGTGCTCCATAATTTCTTTTTCTGCCTTTTACATCCTCTGCCTATCCCCCCTTTAGCCTACTGTATATGCCAGATTGCTGCCACACTTTATCCTTTGTATCAGCAATCTGTCTGTCTGTGTTTCTCGCTCCTTCTCCCCTCCTCCTCCTTCTATTTTTTTTGTCTCCATCTCTTTTTGCCTTTCAACTCACACAGAAACACAAACATAAACAGCAGCAGCTGGGGGCTGTTATAGTCCTTCTGTGGAACTCGATAGCTTTTAGTGTGAAGGATGAAAGTTGTAAACAATAAATTACATATAACTACTAAATCACTTCAGTAAGAGCTGGGACAGCAGTGAGTGAGCATTTAACTTGGGACATGCAGGTTGTGAGTGTGCACTGTTTAGGTGACATGTTATTGTGTGCAAGACACATTTGGGACAAAGGACATATTTTAGAGTTTGACTCGAGCATTCTCCAGGTCGTCTTTGGATCTGTATTGAGAACAGCCAAATAAAGTATAAAGTGCTAAGAGACAGGCCTTTACGCCTAAATCACTAATAACCATTTGAAATTAAAATACCATAAATATACAGCACTGTGCTCAGTGCATCCATAATGCCACTCCTGTTTCTCCACTGTGAGTGAGTAATAACATAATCAATTGACTTTATGGGCTCCAAATCATCACATGTGACCTTTACTCTAACAGGAAACCTTAAGCAACCATTTAATAAAACAATATGAATTAACACAATTAAACCTAACACTTAAAAGCAATAAGCCTCATTTAAATCACGACCTATGATCCGGGTCGTGATCTAAATAAGAATTTCAATCAGGCTTTGTGCTCGTCCTTGCAATGCAGTGTTATAATGTGCAAGTATTGTGAGCTCTTTTTGCTGAGACATCACTTCAAATCTATACGTGAAAGAAAATAAGCACTGATAAGAGCCTATGCAACACGTGAAAGAGCAATGATATGCAACAAAGATAAGCACATGATATGCAAATAAAAAAACATGAAACTTGCAGCAGACACAAAGAGCAGTCCACACGGGTCCAGGCGATGCCAAACAGACATCTTTAGGCTCACCCGGAGGAGTAATAATGCAGCATCGCGTTTGGTGGCCGGAATAAAATTGCGCACATGCTGTATATACCTGTTCATCCCATCCTACCCCCCGTCTCCCTCACACATATCTATCTCTCATTCCCACCATTTGGCACACTCACCGCACCAGATGGCCAGGTAGGGAGGCGGAGGAGGCAGGTGCCAGTCGCCAACTCGCCCTCTCCGGTCGCTCTTCTTCCTCTCTGTGGAGAAAAGGGTGATGGATACCACGGCTCTCGGTATCCAAAGCCTCTCTGAAATAACAGCAGCTCCTCAGCCGCACCTCACCTGTCTCTTCCCTCTACGGTTCCTGCGCGTCGCCGTAGCATCACCGTTTACCGAGCGCGTCCAAAACGCCCAGTCAACTACAAAACGTTTTTTTTTTTTTTTTTTTTAAATTTCCCGTGGAGAGAACGAGTCCGTGGTCTAAATGTGTGAACGGCAACCTATTGAGGTTTTCTGTGATCCAGGGTACGTTTTTTTCCCCTTTCCCGGTAGCCTTGTTCAGACCCTTGCAAAATCCCAAATCCTGCAATTGCGGACTGTATTAAGTCTTCTGTCAGTGGGGACCGGCCAGTTGTCTGCACTTGGTCAAGCTATACGGCTTTGAAATCAGTAGTCAGCAAAATGTAATCCCCTTTTTAAATTTACAGTGGCGAGGTGAAATGTCCAACGCAGAGCAGTCACAGTGACAGCAGGGGCCCATAATTCACACCCCCTGAAACACAGTCCTGCAGTGGATCAATGATGAATGGAGGACCCCTCTCTCTCTCTCTCTCTCTCTCTCTCTCTCTCTCTCTCTCTCTCTCTCTCTCTCTCTCTCACTCTCTCTCTCTCTCTCACACACACACACACACACACACACACCTTCTGTGTAAAGCCCTTATTGACATACGTGTTTGATGATGTACGGGAGAGTAGTGAGTTAAAAGGCCTTAAACATAAAGCTGCATAAGGGAGTAATACATACAGGCAACATCTTGCAAACTAAATAAATAAATAACTTATAAAAAATGACTTTAATCAATAATAGCCCAGCGGACAGAAAATACATTATCATCTTAAAAAAGGAAAACAAAGATAAGTCATTAGGTTAAAAAACACACCAGCACTCTTTAGGAAAATGTTCAATTATTGAATAGAAAGAGGTCCGGAGCATTAATATTGTCACCAGTACGTTTAAAGTACTGGAGTAGGTGCATCCTGGAAACTATGTGCAAAATATGAAGGGTTATTCTCCGTTCAGATTTATTCTCATGTTTCTTTTGCACTCCAAGGAATATCAGTTTATTCATTTTAAGAATGGCTGCTATCTATTCCCCCTTTTTTTACGATAATTACTTTCTGCTTCTACTCGTTCACCACTATAATTCAGGGGGAAATATTGTACTTTTTACTTCACTATATCAATTGCACAGTTATAGTCACATAAAGATAAGATTTTGCTTTAAAATCACGACGTTTCTCAAATATGATGCATTATTATAAAGTGCTATTGTAGAAATTCTGCCAGCAGTATATGGAGTAATTAAAAGAAACTCCCAGTGGACCAACTACACCATTAAATAGCCTACTGTTTATAACAGTAGTATTAATCAAATAATTTAATCTTTAGTAATATTACACCAGAAAGGGCAGTTCTGCTGCATACTTAGGGCATTTACGTTTGATACAAATACATTTTACTGATAATACTTAAGTAAGATTTGGAATGCAGGACCTTTACCTGTAATGGAGTATTATATTATTTAATAAACGAAGTGAATACACCACTGGATACGGTTTTAAACATTTAGATTGAAGTGAATATAAAAGAGAAACAAGATATATATACTGTGACCTGCTGTTAAGTTCATTTCATTTATTTCCCATGTTAGATTGAACATGTCCTTTTTGTTATTTTGCGTCATACTGTATCCTATAATATGATGTTTTATGTCGGAATTAAAAATAAAACAGAAAACCCTATTTTATCCACTATAACTGTTATACCATTAGCTATAATAACCTTTAAGGAAACAAAACTGTCTGGCTTGAGATTATTTACATTACACACAACCCTGTAAATATTTCCCACTATTTGTGCGATATAAACGCGATAATAATGAATAATAATAATAATGAATAATATCCGGACTCATTGTAATAAAGTTTTGAAATGAAATAGGCCCTTACGTCACATCCGGGTTTAGTCGGACAGTAGTAGAAAAAAAAAAAAAAAAAAATATCTGGTTGCCATGAATTTGAGCTAGCTAGCCACCGACATCTGTCAGTACACTTGAGTAAAACCATCCATGTCAAGACTCAAGCAGGATATTCGGAGTCGTGTGCTGCTTCTGTGTACATATAGGGACACAGCAGCCTGTCTGCCAACCTACTGTGAATCGGTAAGTAGCTAGCTCTGAGGCTAGCGAGGTAGCGAGCTAGCCGCCGCCGCTAGCTGGTCGCCTTGCTAACGATAAGTGATGATATTTTGCCTCATAGCTGGCGTTGACCTGTTCAGCGGGTAGTGTCTAATAATGGCACTAACGTGTCGCTTAGCTCCCTTTCCAGCTGTATGAATGCCTGTGTCACCATACAGCTCCTGTTATGTGCCCACATTACTGGCTAACGTTAGAGGTTAATATCGTTGTTAACCATGAAGCTACCGTTAGCATATCAGTCGCTCCCTGTCGCCCTGGGTCTGCGTTGAGGGGGTGTTGTAATTAGTCACCAATGTCCACGATCACATCAGGGCATTTGAATCACTTTAATCCCACAGTGAGATTTTAGCAGCCTCAGTAACATGCATAAATGCTTGCAACTTTCGCCATAATAAGCAGGCTGGTTATAAGAGCTGTAAAGTGATGACAATAACAACTGATGGTTGAACTCATGTATGGAGTCCTTTATCTTTGACTCAATCTATCTCTTCCTCATAGCTGTGATGCCAGGTCACTATTTACCCTTTGCCCATTGTTTGTGTATTTTGATTTGGCTCCAAGAGCTACAGTTTATAAAGCCTGGCCTTCTTAATATTTATCATGTCACTTTATATCAGCACTTAAAAGAGCTTAGAGATTAAAAGGCCAGACCAGCTAAGTGGTCATGCCCTTATGACTATACGTCATCATGTACAGTGTTTTGCCACATGATGTCAAGCCATTTTAATATGTATTCATTTCTCTCTTTTTTAAAGACCCAGCTGGCTAAGTGACTAGACCAGAAAACCTTGGCACTGTTGTGTGCCAGCTCATTTCAAGACCCAGGGATTTCTGAATCCAGGTACGTTCATAACGGGATATCTGTGCAGGGTTTCCTCCAGGAAATTGTTTAGGGGTTGTGGCAACCGTTTACCTCTACTTTTCCTTACCTGTAAAGACGATTTTTTTCCTGACTTTGCAATATTCTCCTCTGATTATTAACTGCAAAGCAAACATAGGATGTGATAAAGCAATGAGTCACCTGCTAAACCTGCAGACGCATCACATCTCGTGATCAATTTAGTTACTTGAGATTACAATTGAAACATTCACCTTATTAATTAAATATGTGCCCTTTGCTGTGTGACGTAGAAGCTTAATAAGCATAATAGTATATTTAATAAAAACATTAAAAAAAATTCAGAAGACAGTCGAGGTGATCTTTGTTTTAGCAAGGTGAGGTGCCTCCTATGTAAGACAAACTGAGGCAAACCCTGCTGTGAATCAGAGGTGAAAGGGTTTGCTTCTTGCATGCTGTTTATTGTTTTCCTGCCACCTAATTACTCTGTCTACCATGTTTATTTTTCTGCCAGAAGATGAACGGTCTGTCCATACGAGAGCTATGCTGCCTGTTCTGCTGCCCCCCTTGCCCGAGCCGCATTGCAGCCAAACTGGCTTTCCTCCCTCCAGAGCCCACCTACGCCCTTATCCCTGACCCAGATCCAGGTTCTGGAGCTGGACCTGCTTCTGGATCCAGCTCCGGGGCTGCAGTGCCTTCTCTTGGAGCCCCAGGACTGCGTTCCCGACTGGGCACTGGTAGTGGAAGTGACAGAGGAGGCGGCGGAGGTGGTGGTGGAGGTGGAGGGGGAGGAGGAGGAGGGGGAGGAGGGGGAGGAGGGGGGAGGGGGAGGGGTAGGGGTAAGTGGTGGCAGCAGCAGTAGTGGGGGTGAAGGCAGGTGGAAGCTTCATCTCACGGAGAGAGCGGAGTTCCAGTATTCACAGAGAGAGCTGGATGTAACGGATGTATTCCTGACCAGATCTAGTCGAGGAAACAGGGTGGGCTGCATGTACATTCGCTGTGCCCCTAATGCCAGGTGAGACACACACCACCCCCTTAACACCCTGAGCCTGAAACTACACACACAAATTGCAACCCTCTATTTCTGTGTTTTACTCATGCTTTAAATAGGGCACCTTGTCAAATATATTTGTCTCAGTTATACCATTGTACCCATGTTTTCCCATCAACTTGGGGCTTCCTAGTTCAGCACGGTCCCTGCTTAGCCTCTGCCTGTTTCTTATCTTCCTCCTTCTTTCTTCATCCTCCTTTGTCTCTAAGGTTTACAGTGTTGTTTTCCCATGGCAATGCGGTAGACCTGGGCCAGATGAGCAGCTTCTACATCGGCTTAGGCACACGCATCAACTGCAACATCTTTTCCTATGATTACTCAGGCTACGGTGTTAGCACTGGCAAGCCCTCTGAGAAGAACCTTTACGCTGACATTGATGCTGCCTGGCACGCCCTGCGCTCCCGGTAAGCAGGCTCAAACTGTTCGTTCCCATCCACACAGGGTCTGAAATGAACAGCCAACAAGCACCAAATGCCAGTTAAAGTGTCTTTGGTGGATCAAATCAGTGGCAGTCACTCACATCACTAGCCAGCAACTGTTTTTGTGAAAGTAACATTTGGTTGGCTCAGTTATACACAAACTTTGTCCCTGCTGACCATGGTACCCTCTCTTTGACAATCAGCCAGTCAAATCAAAGCTAGACAATGGCTCTCTATCAAACAGGCTGATGATTGGCTGTCACATACTATGCTCTGCATGAAGCAGCAGGATTTAAATATTCCTTTTGTTTATCTGCTGCCAGCATGGTTAATGAGCCTAATGTTAGTAGAAACTTAGGTGGTAACACAGAGTAACTTCTGAAACCATTGAAAAAATAATAAACTTAAGAAAGCAAACATTTACTGTGTGTTATACAAAATCCGAATTTACTCACACAGTCCCTGATTCTGTGCTTGAGATTGTATTTAAACAGGTAAAGCAATATGCTGTCTTTGCTTATGATGTTCTCTTTCAAACTTTGTTTATTACATAAAAGTCACTGTACTGTGCTTACTATGCTGAAAGACTTACTGAACCATGTTAATCTGCATATGGAAAACTACACACCTGTACACGGCACATCGGCCCTTTTGCATACTTGCAGAATAAAAGGGACTCTCATTCTGATATTCTTTGCTAAAGTGTGTGTGTGTGTGTGTGTGTGTGTGTGTGTGTGTGTGTGTGTGTGTGTTGCCTCAGGTATGGCATCAGTCCTGAAAATATCATCCTGTATGGACAGAGCATCGGCACGGTGCCCACAGTAGACTTGGCATCACGGTTCGAGTGCGCTGCTGTGGTCCTCCACTCTCCTCTCACCTCTGGCATGAGAGTGGCCTTTCCAGACACCAAGAAAACATACTGCTTTGATGCCTTCCCTAAGTAGGTTTCTCTGTATTTTAGTTAATATCAATATTTTAAATAGAATATTTTCTTTAAAAATTGTGACAAAAAGTGACAGTTCACTCAGATCATCATCTCTTAGTACCAAGACTCATAGCATTGTAAACTTTAAAGGTATATGTAAAGAGTATAGAACAGTGGCTGTGTTTGAATTCAGTTATTTACATCAAAGTCAAATTATCACTGTGGAAAAGGAAGTATGCAAATGTCCATTAAGAGTTCACAGATCTCTCCCATGTTATAATCAGCTGCTCCGCTGTTGCCCAATATCATCCAGAGAAAAATATTATATTTGTAGTGGCACAAATACAGCAGAAATTGCTGAACGTAGGAGCATTGTAGTCAATTATAGTGCAACACGAAAGCTGTGTCACATATCTATCTCTTGTTCCTGTGGAGGTTGAATGCGCTTCTTGTGAGTCACTTTGGACTAAAATGAATAAGATTGGACAATATTTTGATGTATTGTGAGACAATAGAAAATGAATCTACCGTCATATTTTTTTCATACCAGTTATATCGATTTATTTGCCCCTTTTAATATGTTTGGATATATTAGACCACCGTGGGCAATGTGGCGTATCATTTAATGGGTTTACAAGATCTTATTGTTTATTTTTTATTTGGATCCCCAATCCCATTGATTGTTACCTTGGTAACAGCCCTTCTCCCTGGGGTCTATATTTTCTGCTGATAATGTGATGAAGCACCTTGATTTGTCAGGTATTACATTTTTAGATTAGCCCGAAATAAAACTTCCTATCTGATAGTTTGGAGTGCTTTCTAAGTGAAATTTCAGAAAAATTTGCATTCACACGATATATTCTTAAAATGCACTGTAGTGAATTTAGCCATATTTTAATTTAATAATGATTGTTGGTAACCTTATTAGTATTTGGATGGACAGCAATGACAACTGTCTCTAGTGGAATCCATTGTAATCAAGCAAACCTTTTACAGCTACTGGTTAATACTCAAAAGACCGATTTTAGGTGTAATATCACTTTAAAGTATCTCAAACATGGACATTGTTATTATTTGTCATTGTTAGTTAGTACCCATGGAAAAATATCCCATCGTCTAAAATTTCTAGTATTTCTAGTGCATTAACAGCCTCTATTATTTTTCTTCCAGCATAGAGAAAGTGTCAAAGATCCCGTCTCCAGTGCTCATCATCCACGGTACAGAGGACGAGGTGATCGACTTCTCTCACGGCCTTGCCCTGTTCGAGCGCTGTCCCAAGGCCGTGGAGCCCCTCTGGGTGGAGGGAGCCGGTCACAACGACATTGAGCTTTACAGTCAGTACCTGGAGAGGCTACGGCGCTTCATCAACCAGGACCTGGCTGCACAGCATGCCTGAGAAACAAGCAACAGCCTCTATGCGTTTGTATGAATGAGACAGTGTGCGTGTGAAACTAAGTGAGGATGTCGGCGTGATGGGTGAGAAACTGACTTAAAAAAAGGATGTGTGATTTTTGTCGCATCTGTGTGTCTTTGAAACAACACAACTTTAATTTACTTTTCACAGTACAACACATGTTCAAATAATGTCCTCTTTTAAAGGTGAGAATGGTTTTTAATATATCATCAGCTGCATCCATCTGTGCGGTGGAGTGTGGTGAAACACTAAAAACAAGAACTGAGAATGATCAACTTCACAGATACGGTTTTTAATGTGAGAGAAGTTTTGAATTGCAGCTTTAAAATGTGTCACACACATGAATTAAGAAATAACAGTAATGTGCTTTGTCCAAAAAAGGCACACAGATGTAGGTCCAGTGTGTTACATTTAGGAGGATCTATTGGCAGAAATGGAATATAATATTCATAGGTATGTTTTTATTCGTGTAACAATCGGTTTTGCAGCCAACATAGTTTCTCCTACACGCTTGAAAATCTGAGCTGTATTCAGATGGCTGCAATCTGCAATTTCACCGCTAGATGCTACTAAATCTTACACACTGGTCCTTTTTAGTATGCCATGTTAGTGAATGTATGGGTCATGGATGTAAGTGCATATTCATATCTCCATGGGCCTGTGACACCTGAGTAATGCGTGCACATGTTTGTATGTGTGTGTGAGAGTTTCTGAGCGAGGCAGTGCTGAAAGAAATGAAGGACATCCTGATGACTTGGACAGCTGCAAGTGGAGGAAGCTTATGGAAACTTATCAATAATGATGGGTTTTTTCTTTTGGTTCTCTTTTTTTTTTGCGCGAGTATGTATGAAGAATACCTCCACAGCTTGACCAGTTCTCTCTCCAGTGGACAAACACTGGTCAAGCATGTGCCCCCCTCTCCCCCAGACCCCCTCTCCCCCAGACCCCCTCCTCCACTCCTTGTTTACCTGATAATGGACATCCATCTGACTGCCAGGGCATTTTCCAAGTTGTTGTCCAGCTAACACTAACCTACTTTATTCGTGTGGTTTGGGGGTCCATCTCCTCTCCTTTTTCTGGTGGATACACTAGTCTGGAATACTGTCATAGCCTGTATGGCTGTTGGGTGTCTCGTACTTTCCTCTCCCTCATTTCTGACTCTGATGGGATCACAGAATGGCCAGCTTCCACTTCATTTCCTCGCTGTGCTGTAGCTTTAGCCTTTTACTGCCAACAGAATTGCAGCAGCAACTTACAGGGAATTATTTTGATTTCCCTGTATTGCTTTCCCCCCATTCAGTCCTATGTATTTGTGATCAAGAATGACGTTGTGGTTGAAATGGAAACAGGTCTTTTGAGGATATCGCTGTTTATGTGGGCATTTCTTTGGCATTAATGGAACAGCTATAGAAGTGCAGATTTACTTAGTCACATTAGATCGGTTGGCTCTAAACAGAGGGTTGTAGCCCTTCAATATTTACTGATGCGTGATGTTTTAAGGTTGGGCAGACTGCACTGACTAAGTAACAGCACCAATAAGATCAGATTTAAAGGAATAGTTCAACATTTTCGGAAGTGGCTGCGCCCAGACAAGAAATAGTCCCCCCCCCTTCTTCTAATGTAACCCTTGGTGAGAAAAGCATTTTTGTTGAACTATACCTTTTTAAAGTCTGAAGTGCAGCTGTTGAGGAGGTCTGTGAATAACGTGTCTGTTCTGGTGAACATACACCTTTTTGGAGCTTGTTGTTCTTGCTGCATATGGAGGCTCTTAAGGTGTAAGGAGGCAAAATAGCTGCTCAGTTCACCAAACTAATGAGGATTACGTCAGTTTTATTCACAATAATCTTTTTGCTTCAACAGAATCTCTTTTGTGTAATATTGATTAACTCGTGGTCTTACAGCAGCACAGTTTGTTTTCCAAGTCTTGTTCCAGTAGCACTCATTACCAGGGTTAGTCAGCCTCCTGTTCTTATTCACCCTCAGCACATTTTCTTTCTTCAAACGTTTTTGTCTTGATGTAATTAATCCGAACGTGTTTGATGTAGTGTAGGGCCATGGATTGTTTGTCTCAGAACCATGCGTGTCAACGTTTGTGACTAACAGTGTGATTCAGATCGGGTGCCAGGACGTGGACATCATGCCTACTAGCTCTGTTTAACCTCTGTGGCCCTAAAATGTACAGGAGCTCTCTTATGGGTGGCAGCACGCTTCATGTCTGACACAAGCCATATTTGAGCCTCTCACTGTTTAGTGTGGTGCAGGTTCCACCACACACACCTTTGCACATCATCACACACACACACACACATTCAAACACAACATACACACATACATACACACACGTAATACATGTACTGTAGTATACAGTATATTTACACTTATATATATCAGATCAAGCATGACAAAAGCAGGTCTTAAGTTCAGCACTATTGTATAAAGCATCCAAAGTGTAATAAGGGTATAAAATGTAAGTTTGTGTGTCTTCATTATTATTGACTGTCTTCTACAGGCCAGCATTAAGGATACTAACATCATGTTTGAATAAGTAGTAATAGGCCCTGTGTGTCGACCTGAAAAAGTAAAAGAACTGGTTTCAGATCTATATGTGTCTGCTGCAAAGGAGACCCATCAGTTTCAGTGATAGTAGCTGCGCTTTTTTTTTAAGGGAACATGTACTGAACTAGCACTGATCTGATTACTCCATTTTGGGAGTACAAGTGGGTCTTGGTAAGCATTGGAAAGGATACTGAACACCACTCGCTCTCTGTCATCACTTCGAACAGGGAATCTTTCCAGTCTCATCCTGTGCTTCGTGTCTCTGATATTTAAATAATGGAAATCTGTTACCATCTTGAACCAGGGGTCTGAGCTGTCAGAATTAGAGAGAATTATCGCCTCTCTCTGAAGGAAGAAGTCGGCCTCAGTTTCTCCCGGACAGTTCGTGTTATCAGGGAAACCACTGGATCCACCTTTCCTTTATGGGGTTCATGAAACAGGGTGGAAACTTGTCGTTTTATTGATGCACCACTATGGTTGCCGTATATTGTATCCTCTGGCCCTGAATGTTTATTGATGAAGGGGTGGGGTGGGAGGGTTGAACAGTGAAAACTGTATGCATGTCTATTGTGTTTTGCAGAGCAAGTGACGGGGTGGGAAGTTATCTCTATTATGTATTCTATGTGAGGATAAAGCTGAACTCATGGCATTGGAATAATGAAGCGCTTTTTAAAAAAAACGGGACGTTCATTTGAATTTTTTTATTGCTGATACTAACTGATGTATTGTTATGAGTTTTGTGCTAGAGTATGAGTGGGGCAGTGGTGGGCGGGTGGGGGGTGGGGGGGGGGGGGGTAGACAATATTAGTGGGCTGTTTATATGGTTACTGTACTTACCTATTCTATTCTTTGTATTATGATTTGTAATTTTATGTTGCTTTTTTTGAACTGAGAATATGATGTAATGAAATTAATTCATGGGACTGAACCTTGACCTTTTTATGGACAACAAAATAATAAAAAAGATCACTTATGTACAAAAATATGAAACAGACTGTATTGTTTTGTTTTTTTATTGTTTTAAAAATTTTTTACTCATGAGCGCATAAGATAATAACAATGAGTAAAAGATCAGTCAGTGATAAAAAAGTTGCAGTATTCCCAGATTGGCTGGGATACATTCAGATAATGTACAGGGTTCGAATAGTTTAATGTGTTTCAATTAATATCAGATTTAAACATGCAAACATACACCTGTGTATTTTTTAAATGAACACGATATAGAGCAGATATCCAATAATTTATGTACCAAATATTAAATGCAATTGTCATGTCATAAATTCTCCAATATCTATTTACAGAAAGGACTGTAGAAAAAAATTAACATTTGTAATTTGCAGACATTCTGGTGCAAGTGAAATCCTTCTTTGGTGCCTCATGGAACAGTTTTAGGGAGTGACTGCCCTCTGCTGGCTGATTGTTGTCATTAAAATAAAATGTCACTAGGCTCCATCACTTAACAATGTGAACCCTGATTTCCTAAGATACAAATTATTTCAAATCAAGCATAACAAAGGGCTTCCTTCTCCTCCTGGTTAGGATTCACCCCTGTGTTCTCTGTGTTGCAGGTTGTGTTGATCTAAGATGGCCAAGACTCCAGCAACCTCTCCTACTGTAGCTGAGCTCAGCTGTTCATGGGCCAGGAAATAAACATGGCTTCAGCAGGCTGCCTCCATATGGCTCAGTGCAGGAGATCCTCGTGCATCAATTTTTTGATCTGTCAGCAGAAAACGAGTGCACTCCTAACAGAAATAATGTCCTGGTGCTTCTCTGCCAACAGTCTGTCGTCCATGTTGTTCACCATGTGAGGTCTGGTTCAGACATCCCAAAAGCATCTTATTGCTGAAATGCATCGTGTGTATATGTTGCTCACACAGCGGTTTAATTTCTACTGTGAGTGAAGTCACTGTAAATTTCTTTGGACAAAACTTCTTTCACTGAAAAATATACTACTGTATGTTTCACTGCTAAGATGCTTTGGGGAGTCTGTCTAGACAGGATCAATCTACAGCAGGATCTTAACAGAGTGGTGCATTGCATGAGTTCCTAAAAGGATTTGTTTCCTGCCACTGGTTATGTTTCTTGGTACCTGCAGAGGAAGAGGAAGCAACATGAGTAGAGAACAGTGGTGGAGGAAGTACTAATCCTATAGTCAACTAAAAGTAATGTTAAAATAAAAGTCTTGCCTTCAGATTTCTACTAAAGTAAAAGTAAAAGTATAATCAGCAGAATATACTAAGAGTATCAAAGGTAATATGCAGAATGGCTCTAATTATAGATACATTAATATTTAAGTAGGATTTTAGTGTAGCTTTTAACTACACATGACTTGTATCTGTAAAGTAACTGCACCTTTTAAAAAATATAGTGGAGTAAAAAGGTTAGGAGTAACCTCAAATGGAAAGTATAAAGTGTAGTTAAGTAAATAACTTGAGGTGTACTTAGTTACTTTCCACTATTTAATTACACATTAAATTAATTTCAATTTATAGAAATACATTTCTAAGAGATTTAAGTGGAGACCATCCATTCATGTAAAAACTGGAGCAAAGCATCCTCTCAACATGTAAACTTTTAAATGCATGGGTGTGACGAATGGAATGTAATCACTTAGCTATTGTACAGGTGGCTGTTGTGAACCTGCAGAACTGCTCTGTTCACACCTAATCTGATTTACCAGTAAGTTTTAAAAGTTGCCAAAACCGGTTTGATCCACCTTCACTCTTCCCCCCCCCCAACAGTTCACAAATGACTTCCGCCTATTTCTATCCTTTAATCTTTTTTTCTTTTTGTGTGTCTACTCACTCTCTGTGGTGTAAAGTCAACTCAGTCAGGGCTCCCAAAGATTGCAGCTGCTCCTCCAGTGCCATGATTCTCAGCCCAATGTACCCAGACGCCAACAGGAGCAACACCGTCCTAGAAACACACAATAGTCAACTGGATGCCACCCACTACAATGCACTTTTCACTCACTATAATTAAAGTTAAAGTAATGTTAAATCTTGTCATCAGATTTTTACTAAAGTAAAAGAATTATAGCCAGAATATACTTAGAGTATCAAAAGTATTATGCAGGATGGCTCTAATTATAAATGCATTAATATTTAAGCAGAATTTTTGTGTAGCTTTACACTACCTTACATACTGCAGGCTTTAATGAAAGTAAAAGTGTGTTGTGCAAAATTACTCAAAAGTTGAGCAGACTGTACTGTACAGTTCTAATAATAAGACATTAGTTTCCAGCCAGTCCAGTTAGTCAACATACCAACGTGTCTGTCGGTTGAGAAATCTACATAAAGCTGAAAGATAATTTTAAGGCCTATTATTATTACTTTTCTAAGTCCTAGCTCAAGCTTAACAAAATGCTTTTTTAAACATCCATGTATAACTACATAGGGAGTCAACTTCCAACTTTTTTTCATTAACAGAATTTACGCAGCATAATCAAATGTACAACTGTAAAAAAAAAATTTATAATAATAACAAACCCATGACATAAAAATAAGTAAGTCTAGTAAAAGTATTATCATAAAAATGTTTTAAATATATATATATATATATATATATATATATATATATATATTTAATTAATCTTTCATTTATTTTGCATTGTATTCTGAGGATGAAAATTTGTTTTGTATATTAAATGTATGTTTTGTAGGTCTAAATTTGTAAAGAAGCTAGAGACTGCTGAAAAACGTAAAAAAAAATGATAATACTACTACTACTACTACTCAAATTGGACTGAAGTGCAGTACTTGTGTAAATGTAGTTAAAGCACTGGAGATGGAGCCTTAACTGTGAGGAATAATGATACTCACAGCATCAAGTAGAGGAAGAAGAGACTGCTGAAATTCTGAATTTCTCTGAGGAGGAAGAACGGTGTGACCCTCTCGATGATCCTCCAAATCCACAATGCAGCTGTTTGGGAGAAAAATCAGTTTGATATTCTATAATGACACGTTCCTCTATGTGTTATAGGCAGCTTGAGTAAATATTAAAGTGTGTGTGTGTGTGTGTGTGTATCTGTGAGCTCTTACCTCTGTCGTCTTCATCCGCTAAGCTGCTTTGATGGGTGGAGTTGTATCTTGTTGGATCTGGAGAGGCAAAAATATACATTGCTGCACTCAGTGGTATTGCTAAGATATTTCAATTAGATTGATGATTACTCCATTACACACTGCTCTCTGTCTCCCTGATCATTTTCTCACCTTCACTGGACATCTGATGAAAGCTGTTATCAAGATAAATGCTATCCTGTCTGCTCAGATCATGATCTGCACAGTCTTCCAAACTGGAATAACTGGAGGCCTGCAGACAAGAACAGGGGCACGGAAAGTCTGTCAGTGCACATTATGCTCATATTCACTCGACTATAACAAGATAAATGTAGTTTCTGGTTTGGTTGAGTTAGATGAGCATTAAAAATACCATTTCATGATCAGCTTCATTCTCTGCAGAGGAGAGCGGGCTGACAGTTTTCTCCTGTTTCACACAAACACAGAAACATGAGTTCAAACATGAAAATGTCCTTCTCTTGAGAAATGATGCCTTTATGTGCGTGACACCTACCTGAACATGTATACAGACAGTTTGGAGGACTTTATAACACATTTCACGGTGCCTTAAAGACACAAATGAGTACTGAAAGAAGAAAAAAAGAGTGGAGAGAAAGGGTTAATCCTGGAACAAATTAAAACTATGTTCAATGTTAAGGAGGTTTATTTGAAGTCTTGGCTCGATGAGCTGTTTCACCACAGGAATTTTAAAAACAATTTCCTTTCCTTATAGCTCACTTTCTGATCTTTCCTTATATTGATTGGTATTTAACACTACAACCACAGGACAAATTTAAGTCAAGCTCACTTAATTATTGTTATAAATTACTGCTCTGCTACTACTAAATTTAATGCGTAAAGGGACATGTACCCATGCCATATAACACAGCATTTACAGGCTTAGCTAGTTTGTCCCTAAATGAGCCATTGTACAAATATACAAAATACAGCATAAACACATACAAAACAACACAGAAGTAAAATAGTAATAACATTAATATAATATAATATAACAAAGATTATAAAGAATAATACATAAAAAAGAACGTGAACCTTAAAATAATAATAATATATATATATATTTATATATATTTAAGTGTGAATTCTCACCTTCTCTCCATCAGCAGTCTGAATAGACAACATAGATAAAGCTGAGTTATGTTTCTTCACCTCCCTGACGCTGGACGCAGGAATCACCACCTGCAATATGTTGATAAAATACTTTCATGTCAGTACCACCTTCAAGGAGACATTAACATCATATTACATGTGTAGAACGTGTGAAATGTAACCTCAAACACAGATATCCAAGGTAAAGAACCAGCTTGTTAGTATATCCTAAAATAATTTCCTTCTGTGAAGTCAGTCTTTCATATAAGGGTAAAAACCTGAATGCTGGGGATGAAAACACATTTTTAGGAAAACTCTTTTACAAGTTCTGGGACATGTAAGCTGAAAATGTCTGTTCTATAAAAAAATATGAATTTCATTTTCCTGAAAAGTGATTTTTGAATCTGAGAAAGCCCCAGGTAGGGCCACAGCTGTTTTCAGACATTTCAGTGTTAAATAATATCACCAGTGTTATTAGGCTTCAGTGTGTCTGAGCGTGCTACCTTGGTGTCTTTGAGCAGCACGGATGAGTAGAAACACACATAGTTGTCAGAAACAAAAAGTTTTCCATGATACAGCACCTCCTTCTGTAAGGCACAGGTGAATGCTACAATAGAGACACACACACACACACACACACACACACACACACACACACACACACACACACACACACACACACACACACACACACACAGGTATTATTAGAAGTTGTGAGGCAGGTGTTTCCTCTAATAAAAAAACCCCAGGAGTTTCAGACAGAGATATGCCTGCTGCATCGTTTATTACAGTGTTTCAGCTTCTCAGTCACTGCAGACCACTTTGCAGACAATGTATGAGGCACACTTAATCAGACATAAAGTTAAAACCTGACACAATGTGATGTGATTTCCACAATCAATATCAACAAATAAGTAACAGACTCTTGTCCTCAGCTCGACTCACCGTGTGTCAGGCTCTCCCCCATAGGTATCTCTTGAAACAGTTTGTGGAAGCTTTTGTTGTATTTCAGGAAGCCCTGTGGGGAACAAATACTGAGTGTTGAGTGATGTATCTGGGATTTGTATTTGGGGTATAGAAAAAGCAGGTTTGGTGTTTGCTATCTGAAATATTTGACTGTAAACCTGCAGTAAATTCAGTTTTATAACTAGGTTCGGGAACACAGACCACGCCTGGAACTCATCTCATTTCCACACAAAAACTACTTAAGCACACCTTATCCATTCAATCCCTCTTTGACACAGTTTCCACATCCCTCCCCCTGAAGCCCTTTCTATTTCTCTTTTTACCCTTCTCTCTCTCTCTTATTCAAATACAAGAACCACTGAGGCTCAAATAAGAGAAAAGAGGAGACAGCACCCCCACTCAGAGTCGGTTCCCTCCCATCATCTCGTCATCCGCAAACCTGATATCTCCCTCCATCCGTTTATCTCTCATCCTTCCTTTCCATACCACTTCATCCCTCCATTCTCATCCCTTCATCCCATATCCTCAGCGGCATGAAGCCTTTGTTAGTAAACTGATTTTTTGGCCACTCTGGGGCACCGGGAACACGTTGTCAACCCTCACATATTATCACCTTATAACTTGATATGGTGAACTTGTTAGCAAACAGTTGCTAACCTACACACGCAGCAGTTACAGAGCAACATTAACATTCAGTTGGGTGTTTCTGGTGGACACCTGATGAATCTAAGTCCAATACTCAGTCCACTGTGTTCACCAGCTACTCGCCAGCTGTGTCTGTTTGGTGCAGAGCAGGTAGTGCACAGAGGATTATAGGTTTTTCTCTAAGCTGCAACTAACTGCTGCTATGAGAGCGTTGAAAGTGAATCAAAACAGGAAAGTTGGGGGCTGGGCAGCTGAACAATGAGGTACAGAATCAGGTGATAATTCTTTGTAGGTCCATCAACCCATTTCACAATGTCACATTGCTGTCATATTGTCATTTGGTGAATTGTTATTATAAAAATATTGATTACAGTCGCTTTCATTCTGTCTTACATGATTGCTGAAGAGCCCATCTGATTGATCAAGGTTCTCCTCTGCTATGGTCTGCGTCCTGAGAACACAAACAGGACAAATGCACCACACCAAGACAAACAAGATAAGGATGTTATCAGGACTTCGTCTACGTACAAGTTAAAATTCTTGAGCTGCAATGTAGTGTACCTGAGGGTCACGTTGTTGTTGAGGCTGTGATTCAGCTCATGGATCTCTAGTCGGGCATCGTCCAGACTATGTCTAGATTTCTTACTACTAAACATGCTGCTGCCTCTTCTTCCGCCAATGGGTCCGACTCCGTCCAGACCGCTGTCCCAAGAGAGCAGGAGATAAATGTCAGGCTGATGAACCAGCTTTTATATGACGCACACAGGTGGGACAGATATAGAACAACATCAAGTAAAGAAATCATACAAAAAGAAAAGGATAATAAATGGATTTCTACCCAGTGGGAACATCAGTGAATGTATTGGAGTGTGGATGCATACAAATCCTGCATGCTAAACATTTCATTATCTTTACTTTCATTGTTTTCATTAGGTCAGATTTTTCACAGAAATGAATGCAGTTCATTCACAAAGGATTTCATACATACATTTGACATGTAGCATCAACAACACCGTTGACTGGAGAGCAAATAGGTAAAAGAAGTGAATGATGCTCTTGTTTGTTTTTGAATCCAATCAGATATCTCTGTCTGTTTGTAGTTCCTCTGTGTGAAAGTTATATATGTAATGTATTGACTGTCTACTGCCTGTTAGGCCTGCGGTTAGTCAGCAGTCTCTGGGCAACAGCAGGGTCCCTGGAGAATGGTTTCACTTTTGTAATCAGTATCTTGCACACCTGGTACTTACAGTGACTTATATATATGTTTGGTCAGCTGTAAAAGACGAATATTGTTGTCTAATTTCAGCAAAATATTAAGAAGGACATTAAAAGGACAGAGACATTTAAAGAAAAAGAGTAAAACAGTAAAACATTTATACTCACATAGAGCTGTCCAGTGAAAATCTCCTGGGTTTTAGAGTCATAATGGCAAATAAACACTTCAAACTCACAGAAATGCATACACTCACAGACGTTCATACATACAGTGTAAGACTAAATCTTCAGGTTTACAGACTCATTCAAACACCTCCTGTGTTTGTGATTCTTTGGCTTTGTTTCCTTGAAGCAGTAAGGGACAGGTGAGAAACAAAGACAGCCTATTTTAAGGATTGGCTTCTCGTTGTTAAGTCTACCAATCAGCGGTGAGAGGTGGGAATCTTCACTCAAACAAAACCAATCAGTGAAGGCAGGTTGAAAGGCCACACATTCTTCACAGCTTCTGTTTCTCATGGCAACAGACGCTATAGATGGTGCAACCTGCCCTGACCTTTTGACACACAGGCATACACACACACACACACACACACACACACACACACACACACACACACACACACACACACACACACACACACACACACACACACACACACACACACACACACACACACACACACACACACACATTGTGAGACAGACAGGTATGCAGTGACAGTGGTCATGTGTGAGAGAAATGACAGTCACACTATGTCTCCTGCAGCCTGCTCAGCCTGCATAGATTGATATCAGAGAATGAGTGATGTTGAATGTTGGCACACAACACAAAAAACATTAACTGGGTTACACAATTCATCCTTGTCATCCTTGTACAACTGTAAAAAAACATATATAGAATTTTGCCTTTGCAGATACAACCTTTATGAATACCATTCAGAGAACCTATCACTGATCTGCTGATACTCTATGAAACTGATTTGTCAATATTTGAAGTCCTTGAGGTTAAGGATTGCAGTCTCATGCTGAGGAAGTGTTTATTCAGTCTCTTCTCGAAGCCATAAACACTTCTTGATGTGATGTCTCCAACAACAGCTGTCACAAGTCTTCTGCGTAGGCTCAGTTTGGTGATGGCATAATTCTTTAGTTCTCATCCACGCCAATAATCTTTAGAGCCTTTTTCTGGTATCTATCTACAAATCTCTCCACACATACCACCATTTAATCTCTGCCACGCCATTTACAGATCTCTGCCACGCCAAAAGTGTACTAAAAGTCACGTGTAAAAAGACAGCCAGTGGAGAGGCCCACCTCATTTGTAACTGATGACTTGTCTGTATTTCCAGCTCTTGGAGCAAATAGTTTAGACATCCATTAATATGTATGTATTCATTTACAGATTTGTCTACACATTAACTCAGTTCAGTGCAGTTTTATTTGTATAGGACACTTTCCCAACAGAACCCATGAGCAAGCACTTGGCGACAGCGGGAAGGAGAATCTTCCTTTTAAGAGGCAGAAACCTCAAGCAGACCCCGGCTCTAGGTAGGCGGCTGTCTGCCTCGACATTACAAATCTCTATAGACTTGCAATCCTGAATACACATTGGGAGATACATGTAACAGTATGAAACTACAAATTTTTTTATAACAAAGTTTTCTCATTGTGGGCTTTTTCAAATTTTTACTTATTGCATTATCTTTTGAAGGCACGCATGTTATGCTATTTGAAGTGTAGGTTAGTGAAGGGAATTTTACCAAAATATATGAGAAAGATTTGCCGAAGATAAATATAAGATGTAAATTCTAACCTTAGTCCATATAACTGTTATCCATATAATCTGAAAAAGATGGCTAAAATATATAAATGGGCCTGCTGAATTATTGTTCTCCAGTGTTTTGTATTGAAGTGTATGGATGAATGTAACTTCCCATAATGCACAGAGACACTGATGCAAGCCTTTTCAGATGAACATTATCTATTGAGCTCAGTAACTGTTTGTTTGGAGTTCAGGGTCACACTGACTTTCATCTTTGTGTGTGTATAAAGTGTCACCAGTGTCGACGCTGAGGGAAAACAGTGTTACTTTACACTTCCTTGTACAGGTGAGTGAGATTGATTTCATTACGAACAGTCTCCTAACTACAGTTGAAGGCGTTAGTTACCAGGCCTGTCTCAACACATCTCAACAAGGAAATGCAGCTTAGAGTCATAAAAACATTCAAATAAAACTACACAGGAATTATTCTGTGATGGACAGGACAATACATTCCTCACATCCTCCCTTTCTTTCTTCTCTTTTTCCTCTTACAACTTGAAAACATGTACAAATGAGTAGCTGGCTTTCTGAGAGATAGTGAGGAAGAATTGGGTTAAAGGATCAGCCAAACACACTTATGCGATAAGGGACATAGTGCTCTTCAGGTGCAGCAGCTCTTCATATCAACAGACAGATCATAGTCATAGTCTGTATGTTACATTTAAGTAGGCAAAGGAGCCTTCTATATCTCTGTTACTGGAAAGCTGTGGTGCGATCAGATGTTTCCAGGGCGAGTTTCATTTTTAGTGAATGGCTGATTACATCTTATGTAAGGGTGTGTGCCGGCTGTACTGAAAACAGACACAATCAATTATGTATGGAGCAACATTCCTCTTCATCTCCTAATCACAAGGGTAACGCTAGTTGTCACAAGAATGTTATAGATTTAAAGAGAAAGTAGAGAAATGCTTAGCTTAGCCCAGCACGAGGACTAAAAGATCAGTTAGCCTCTGTCTAAAAGAATCAACATCCACCTACAAACACAGCGAAACACTCACAAATTAATAAATTATATAGTTAATTCATACAGAACTGGAATGCAACAGTGACATGTTGTGATTTTATATGGGGGGATTGTGTGGTTGATTCTGTTACTCTTGGACAGAGCCGAGCCAGCTGCTATTTCTTTATTTTATTTTTTGGTCTAAATATCAAAATTTAAGTTTCATGCTCAAGATTGCATAATGTTTTTTTCCCCCAAGATATTCCCTGTATGTGTAGTTGACCTTTATCACAGCAGCTATTTTGATATTAATTAGTAGGGTAAATTGGTGTTACCAGTGTTAGAGTCCATTTAGTGTAGCAGAGGCTTTCCAGTGAGCCAACATGTAAAGCAACAACATCCTGACTCTGTTTGACTTAAATGAAACAGAACTTTAATTTGTATCATTGTTAACACCTGTGTTTACCCTACTATTTCATGTCAAAATGGCTACTGTGAAAAAGGTCTATTGTGTTTTAATGCAGAGTTCATGTCATATCAAGTCATCAGTTCCAAACTTGTAGAGTCAACATACAAGCCATCATTATGTCTGGGAAACCTGGATTTTTCTGAAAGGTCCAATATATACAATAATATTGAAGTACCTGAAAACCAAACAAGTATTGTAATTAAACCTAAATTTGATGGATATGGTACTGAACTGCATGAAGTTTAATTTTGTGGCCCCAAACCATCTGAAAAACGGGAGATTCTTGCACTCTGCTGGCAGAAAAGGCCAAGTTGATCCAAATTTCCAAATGTTTTCTCAGTGTAATTTTATGTGCAGTGTATTTAGTAAAAGCTGGGTGCTGTGACAGAAGTGCATTTCAGTTACTTTGGTCCCATCTAGTGGATGAGAAGTGAATAATAAAAAAAAAAGAAAGAAAGAATGCAAAGGCAAAGAACCCACAGGAATCAAGTAGCTCATTGTGCTGTATATCCAATCATCCTGCTTTTAATACAAAGTCAAGATACAATATCTACATCCATGGTTTGGAAGGAAAGAACAGGTACATAAGTGAGGGGGATGGCGTCATCAGAGCTGGCCCTCAACACATTTCATATTATGTGTGTGCCTTTTATATTTCTCTTGACACAATAATCATTAGAAATCCAAGGAATAACATATTTCATATATGTCACACACTGTCAAGACTTCTGGACCACACATAAATTTCATATCAGAATAATTTCAGATTTTAACAATAACTTTTGAGTGTGTGTGTGTGTGTGTGTGTGCGTGTAGCACTCTCTTTCAAAAATACACTTGCTACCATGTGCTTTCCAGCAAACTAAATACCAGCAGCTTGTCTGAGGTTGTCACCTACAGGTCTGCTCTATATATCTAATTTCTCTGATGCCCCTAAACCACATCACGTTGGGGTGGATCATACCTCTGTTGCTCTGATCACACCACTGCTGTGACTATGCAGGTCGAGTGAGGGAGGGCAATAAAAGGGCATCACTGTAAACTTAAACTAGGTCTGCCTCTAATGTACATCTCTAGCTAACTAGTCGGACATCAGTAATCAGTATCAAATAGCACCCTACACAGAGGGCATACTTTATCATAATAAAGCAAATAAAAAAGCACCAAAACTGACCATTAAAAATAAAAAAACAAACAGTGACAATATCATACTTTAACATTGGCTCGCCAAAGAAACAAGTAAACAACATCTTATTGGTTATAGTTGCTAGATATCCCAAATAAATAAATGAAAAACATACGTAAAAAGTAACAAAATAGAATAATAAATATCTTAAAAAATCATATGAAATAAATATGACAAAGTGAACGATAACAATAAGGCTTTTTTTTGCGACGATAAGAACTACATCACATCCAATCCCACGTTATATCTTGTGCTCAGACGTATGTAACTGTACTGTATAGGACTCCAATGATAGACTGTATGTACAAAATTGGTGAAATTGCCCAAGATTTCCGATGGACACTGGAACATCGCCGTGCTCTTCAATCACCACGTGGGACCAATTATGATTATATGTCAAATCAAGAAAAGATATATATCGATATCAAGGACGTGTGCAGTTGTACTGGAGGAGACAGAGGAGGAAAAAACATCATTTGGTTAAGTAGGGATGTTCTGTACAGTGTGATTTAGAAACGGAGAGAATTGTAATGGAGTTCAAATGGAGGTGGGATGATTGGGTGAGGGGAGAGGACTGTTGAAAGTGAGCAATTTAGTATTTTCGCTGATATTTTTGGGATTTCTCTCATTATCTTTCAGTAGCCTTAAATAGTAAAATATCAGAGTGATTTAACTGCAAAGTGGTGCAATTCAAGTAGGTAAGCTTCAGAGGAAGAAGATAATCAGGAAACAACTTTCATCCTCAGTTTAAGATACTGTATGACAATAAAAGTTTAGCACACAACGCGTAAACATTAAGCAGCATGTTAAAACACAAGAAATAAGTAGGCATAAGGCAAAGACATACAAGAAAAACACACAAAAAATCATGTCTGTAGAAATGGGCTAAGAACTGCTGCAAAGTTAAGAAACAAAGGCCTTGAAGCTCAATTCTTTCATTAGCATCTCTTTCAGTA